TTATGTTTGTTTTACAACTTACGAAAAAAAATTTTCAGGGAAAGTGTCCTTCAGAATGCAAGCTAACAAAAGAATAAAAATAAAATTATCAATTTTTATTTTTTATTTATTTTAGGTAATTAAAATATACCAATATGTCATTCCCTCACTTGTCCCCACTGCTGATTTAAAAAAAAAAATTTTTTTTTTCTGAAGTAAAAAAAATAAATTTACAAATTCGTGTTTTTTATTTCAGAATATAGAAATATAGAATTCAGAAAATAAATTTTAAGTTTAATTTCTGATAAAAATATTACCACAGCACTATTTTAAACTTTGTCCCCAGCGTTTCGCGTCATTCCCTCACAACAATGTTTTTATCGTCTGCAAACTTCTTAGAATAAAAATATTTTAATAAAAACTTCAGAAGTTAACAACTGACATCATAGAACAAAATTCCAGTATGTTTCCATTTTCAACTTAAAGAAGCTTTGCTGTAAAATAAATTTTAATGAATCAAACCAGGTAAAATTTTTTACATTTGTCATTCCCTCATGTCGTTTTTTAAAATAAAATAAAATACAAATTCATCGAAAAAGTGGATAATTATATTTTGCTTTCTTGTATGAATATAATTGTATGTGATTGATTTCAGAAATCAATTAGGCCTAACTGTTATTTTGAAATTTTATTGAATTTGTCATTCCCTCACTATCATTCCCTCACTAATGTATAAAGTGAGGGAATGATTCAAGATGAGTATATTGTTAAATTTTGCTTTAGTTTGTTCTTGGTTTTTCTTTTTTTAATAAAAATAGAATTAAAAATTGCGGAATATATTGTATTAAGTCTAATTCTAAAGTCTAGCCCATTCTTAATTTAACTTTATTTAAAATATAATATTGATGAAGTTATCATATTCCTAAAAATATTTTTGAATGAAAAATTTAATTAACCTGATTAATTTCTATTAAAATTATATGTTATAACTTATAAATTATATGCTATATAAATATATGTTACTTTTGTTGGAGAACTTACAGTTATAATTTTATAATTTGATGAATTTTATTTAAGTGCCAAATTTAAGTTTATTCGTGAATTCTACACAGCATGAAATAAGACAGCAGTTATAATGCAACTATGATCTTGAATTAATTAGTTTAGGCATTTTAATAAATACAGAATGACTGTTTTAAGAACAATCTAAGAAATATTAGAATCTATTTTCCAGATAGCTTAACTATGGATAGCTTAACGAAAGAAGAAGCTCGTTTAAAGAAATAAGAATATGATCGAAAAAGAAGAGAACGAATGAAGTCAAATTCCTCTTTAATTTTAAAACAGAAAGAACGAATTAAATACCTGGAAAAAAAGGAAAGAGGACGAGTGAAACCTGCTTCACAAATGACTAGTCGTAACTTAAGAGTGAAAAGGAAACAATGGAAGAAAAACTCCAACAAAGTGGATTATGAGTACAAGTGAAGTAAAACATGTTCATATGCTAAGTGATGGGCCATCAGCCCAATATAGAAACAGAAAAATGTTTCATCTGATATCCCAACATATAAAACAGCTTACTCCTGGTATTCTAAACTTTACTTGGAACTATAATGAATCCGGACATGGAAAAGGAGCTCCCGACGGAATTGGAGCTGTTATGAAAAGAACAGCAGATCGGAGAGTGGCAGAAGGAAAAGATGTGCATAATTACGAAACACTTGTTTCTGTATTAAAAGAAAATTGCTCAGTAACTTTATTTGAAGTTTCAATTGAGGATATAAAAAAATGTGATAAATTAATTGAGGTAAAAATTAAACCATTCACTGGCACAATGAAAGTTCACCAAGTTGCATACAGTGCAAGGAATAACATATTGAATTTTCGCTCTCTTTCGTGTTTTGCATGTGATGCATCAATTTTGTGTGAACATTATAATTTGGGAACTTATAAAATAGGCAGGGTTCAAACAGAGATCAGAAGAAGAAATCCAAGGAGTATCCAAGGAGTCCAAAATTTAAAATCTTTGCGCAAAAAATAACCAGACAGTTTTTTTTTTAAAATCAAAAAGCAGTAACTATAAAGAACTTTCAAAAATATATATTTTGCATAAGATATTTTTTTCTAGCCCTTTTGAAATAAAATTTTACTTTGTCAAACTTCATCAAGAAAAATAAGGTATCACTTTCACACATAAATACATTTTCCAGCTTCAAATATTTTAATAAATCTTGTTAAAGTACGTAGTACAGATGTTAAAGATTAACATAAAAACCTACCAATCTTATATTTTTAAATTTGAATACATAGAATCTAAGGCATTTTATACAAAGAGAAAAAAACAGTAAATCATTAATTAAGTTTGTTTGTAACATGTAAAATTAAAATACCGCAGAAGTAAAGATCTTACATTCAAAAAATGTAACAATTGATGTAATGGCTCCCACAAATGCAGGAAAATAAAAATGGCCCTTTCCAAAAGACATACATAAATACACAAACACAGACATAAAAAAAAATTCTACCACCCATTCCATGTGACAATCGTGCCAGCCAATTTTATTTCCCAAACCTGTAAAAACTATTAAATATATAAAACTAAATTATAATAAATAATAGATATACTTAATATGTTATCATTTTCAAACTTGAGGTAGCTGTAACTGAGAGAAAAACATGTATTGAAATAAAATATCATTCCCTCACTATCAATGTCATTCCCTCACTTTTCAAATAGTGAAATTAATTAATTAATTTAAATATTAAGTATAATTTAAAGGATATATATTTTCTTTATGATGCCATTACATATTTCTATTAATAAAAAAAGTTTCAGAGCTTTTTATTCATTTTATTTTTTTGGGATTTTATGAACCGAAAAATGACAGTTTTTGTGAGAATGACCCATATACAGAGGATACTGTTCTTCTTTATAGATGAAACAATATTACAGGGGATATTGTTTCATCTACAACATATAGATAGCGCTACTGAGGCAAACTCTTATCATTTTACTGAACACAAATATTCCATTGTGCCATCTGGGGAAATTGTTTAAAACTAAACTAATAAAGAAACAGTATACATTTAAAATATGATATTCTCTAAAAAAAAAAAATATTTTTAATGTAGACAATATTAATTAGAAACACTCAGCAGTTTTTTAAAACCAAGAAATAGTTTGGAAAAATTAATTATTATTATTTGATTAATTATTATTATTTTTAGACTTAAAATTTCGAAAAATTTTGATAGTGTCACAGGTCTAACCAATATTTCATCCAGTCATCGTGAAGCAAAACACACGGAAAGTAATTGTGAGGAAATTTCCAATAACAGTCCAATAACTCAATTCTATATTAATTAATTTTAACTCTTAATTAATTCTGATGTTCATAAGAAAATTTTTAGTACTTTGCATTATTTAATTAATTTGTATTTAGAAAATATTTCCTAAATACAATTGAAAAAGTTATATTTTTTAATATCTATTATAAAATTAAATTTTGCACTTCTTTTAACATTTTTCAGTTTTTCTGAATTTTTTTCTTCTTTTTCTCCATGAAGCTTTCGGAATTTTTTTAAATTTAATATATAAATATTGCTAAAAATTGCGATTTCATCATCAATGACTTGGGTTCATAAATGAAATATATTGGAAAAGTTTTTTTTCGTGATAGTTTTCGAAAGTTTTTTTTCGTGAATTCGAAATACGCTTAATTTAATTTTCACAAATTAATTGATGATGGATATTTTTATTATTTGGCACTATCTTTCGATACATGTAAAATAATAGGGAATGAAAACTAAATTGTTTTATTAAAATATATATAATAATCAGAAAAGGGCAAAACAAAATTGGTTAGGTACTTAATATTGCTTTAAGTGTTAGTGCAAAAAGCAGGATGGCGTTAGATCTTTTAGTAAGTTTGTGTTTTATTCAAATTGAATTGGACACTATAAATTCTCTTTTTATGTTGCAGAATACATAAGTTTTTGTACCTTGCAAGGTATATTACAATATAAAGTTCTAAAACTGCATACATTAGTTGAATTCAGCGAAATCTTAAAATTCGTTAGGAAGTAATCGCTCGGTAAGCCTGACGATAATTTCTGGCAAAATATATTATAATTATTTTTGTGTGCTGCCATCTCTTAAGAAAATTATAATAAAAAATTTATACATTAGCACTGTTATTAAAACTTTTATTTTTGTTTCTCCTCTTTTGATTGTTGATTAATTTCCATTGGAAAGTTACAATCCAAATTCGCCACTTAAATATTTGCTTAGCATCTTTTCATGATTTGTAGTTCTATTAAATTAGTCATCAAACTCGCGAAAGGGGGATAAAATTGATGCTTAGAATAAATTCGTTTTCTATTATCTTTTCTTCAGAAAAAGAATCAACAAGAAAATATGTCGCAACTATTAATTAAGTACCAAAAGGCAGGACTGCATCAGTGGCAAATGACTGAGTGAATTAGCAAATCCTAGTTTTGTAGTAATCCTGCTTCGGACTAAAGTGAGTTAAAAAGCAACAAAAACTGCAAAATATTACTAAATTCAAATGTGCTGCCATCTATTGATAAAAATTATTAGCTTGTATGCTTAATTTTACTATTTGGAAAAGTTTTTGTTTTTGAGATATAAAAAAAAAAAAAATAATAATTTGGGGGTTGAAAAAAGCAAATAAATAAATAAGTACATAAATAAGTTCATAAATAAATAAAAATTATAAGTATAATACAAATAAATTTATTTGTTATAAAACAATAAAGCAGGCTAAGTATTACGATTTTATTCAAATAAAATTTTTTTTTACTATGATTATTGTAACGCAAAATAAAATTTTCAAAAGATAATCACAACTAAAAGGTAACGATAGTCGTTGTTCGTTATCGATCTCTAAGTTAGATATTTCTAAATAAAAATCTGCTGTTATTTGAAGCTTGGGTCTCAAAGGAATAGTATATCTATTAAAAGAAAAATTGCTTATCTTCCAAAACAAATAAGAAAGTGCTCAGATTTTTCATCATTTATTTTTATGGATACAAACTTCCTGTTAACAATTTTTCTTTTAAGTGTGGGATATTTTTCAGTGATCATCGTTTCTTGCCAAATCTGAAAGTTCCGCCAAAACCATATTTAGGTTCAGACTTGTACGTATGGCCATCCACTCGTGCGATACCTCGTCCATATGAAACTCCGAGGTCCAGACTCATGTCTTTCTTTTTGCTTTCCCAGACTCGAGTACCGACTCCAGCATTGTAACCCAAATTGAAGTTTTTCGCATTATTTCCACCACCTGCTGCTTGCAAGCTGTATTGAGGCTATATATTTAAAAATAATAAAATATGTTTGAATACCATAAATGCACTGTCACACATTTTTCATTCCAAAATTATGATAAAATACCCGGAAGCAGTCTGTCCGTTCGATTAACCGTAAATTTTACGGTAAAGAAAATTTTGGCAATTTTTTTTACGATTAACAATCAACATTTACGGTTTTGAAACCGTTTAAAAGTAATATGGTTATAAAACAATGAATACAAAACTACATGTTTTTTTTAAACCATTTACAACTAGCATGGTTTTAAAAAAATAAAAAAATTAACCGGACATAGGAGCTAGGTTTTTGGTTAGGTAATGGGCATTGGAGAGCAAAGAACGCGAAAAGGACTCCAGTTTTGTCGGTCATGATGTTTGACAGATTACAGAACGAGACTGGTTTTTGTTAGAAATTGGTTGTACATGTATTTTAAATGTGGCGCAATAAATTAATATAATATTTAATTGTCTTTCTTATTTTTCCAATTGCAGTACATCAAATTTTTAATAAAATTATTGGTGATTTTGCTAGTCTAGATCCAGATCTCTCGCCCGATTCTCTGACAAGTATTTCCCATCTCGCTTTTTGAATCAAAATAAAATAATTAAATTCTTAATAAAGAAATATGTTTCCTTAACGTTTTCAACGTTTATAGTAGTTCTTCAAAGTATTCATTTTGAAGCAAACCATAATTCGGAATATTTTATTCATTTTCAGCTTATGTATATACGCCAGAAATAAATTCATAACTAAACTAGATGCAGCACAAGGACTGCAAATTTAACAGTCGGACATTAAACTTAATTTAAGATTATTAATGATATGAAACGATGAAAAATCTTCATTCCTAATTAAATATGTTAAGCATAGTCTTTTACAGGCTACGTTCAAAATCAACTTAAACATTATTTATAAAGTTGGGGTTCCGCCGAAAGAAAGTTGATTATTTAGGGTTCCGTAGTCGAAAAAAAAATTGAAGGAAATACTTCGCAATAAAGATTTTATGTTAAACTTTTGCTTTCAAAAAATTATCTTTAGGTAATATGCTTGAAAAAGAGTCAAAATTCCCGTACCTAGCAAACTAAAGAAAAATGAAAGAATTTTATCATTTTACCGTTTTAGAAAAGTTAATTAAATTGTAAGTACAACTTGTGGTTATAAAATTATTAGTACAACAGTTAGTATTTGACGAGAGCAACTAAATTTACATGAACTCTGCGTATAAAGTAGTGCTTTATTTTTATAAAAGACTGTCAAATACTGTAAAATCATACGTTAATGCCTTGAAAAAAAAATCGTGAATTTTTTTTTACGGACAAACAATTTCTGAAATACGTCTGTTTTTTGAGATTTAAATTAGTGAACTACTTATATTATAAATTATATTTGTTAATATTTAGACAGACAATATATATAATGCTACTTTACCTCTCCTACTTTAGGTTCTGGATTCTTATCATCGCATATAACTGAAAAGAAATAGAAAATTATAAACACGAACAAAACAATATAGTTGTATAACAATTATTCACAAAGCACTTAGATAATATTTCGCGTATCTTTAATTCTAAGTGAGGAAATCTCATTAGTTGAATTTCGTCGTGGGACTGATGATTACTACCACTTTTTAAGTACATATATATAGTTTTCAGCATAAAGGAGAGTATAAACTACTTTAACTTATTGGTGTCCTTTTAATACAGGGCAGAATTAAGGTCACCACCAATCGTAGGGCGACTAAATATAAAAAAAATGGCAATTAAAAATTGTTTTGCTAATCTCCACTTGAGGTACATTTATGCCGAAAATGCACCCTACGTGCTTAAAAATACTTTCAATTTCTCACATTATTTATATCACTGGAAAGTTGTACTCATTCCCGGAAGAGTCCCGGTGGCTCAGGGGATTGAGCATTTGCCTTCCAATGAGATGACCAAGTTTCGAATCCCAGCCCTGGCTGGTTGATTCGAATTCTGCACCCGACCACGGGCAAGAAGCTCCATGCCGTCGGGCTAATCGTGGGATGTTTTCGAGGTATTCTATTCCATGTAACGTAAATGCGGATTAGTTCCATCAAAAAGTCCTTCTCAAGGGCTTGTCTCAATGTTTGATGCAGGAGTTCTCTTGTCTTCTGGGTTTAAAATTACAAGACTACGGTGTTGAATATTGATAGTCGTAAACTCAGAAACGGGTCGGCTGTTCAACGGCTGTTATAAAATCAAATCAAATCATTCCTGGAACGTTCAGTTTATTTTAAGTTGCTTCAAAATATCAAGGAACTATAAATGTGTTTATCAAAAGTTTTACGTGATATAAAGCTAATTTCATCTTACTTTTTTTTTAAATTTATGATCGTTAGTATTTAAATTTTTTTTTTATTATGATCATTCATCATTAATTTCGTCATTATGATTGCAATTATTTTAAATTTATTTTGCAAATGAAAAATTTTATGTTTGTTAATAAATATAAATTTTATGTTGCATTATTGGTTCAAAAACTCAAACCTTAAGTTATATTAGTTAAAAATGTTATTGAAAATTTGTAAATTTTACATAAATCTATTTGAAGAGGTCATGAAAATTTTTCCTCTTTTTAGAAATGAACCCTGAAGCAATTACCATATTTTGAGAAATGTTTTACATTAATGAGATAAATATTTTTTTACTAATTCATAATTTTTAATTTTAGAAATGTGGCTACTAAAAAATGCCACTAGTGGCTATTAAAAATATTTTTACTTCTAGCCTTAACAAAATTTCCTAATTTTGCCTTATGTATTTCAATTACTTGGTATGTATGGTTTTTCTCTCAATAGCTTATATCTAAAAATTAACTACGGTTCAGTCAGTGAAAAAAAGGACAGAAATAATCTTAGAGTATAATTTTATTATTTATTATTTTTGTTTGTTTGAAAAGAGCACAATATTTATTATGACCTGCATGTACAACTTTTAAATTAATAAATAATGTTTGAAATTGCGTACTTTTGTTACAAATACTATGCATATATTTTGAAAATAAAAGTTTACCATTACAATATATTTACTATTCGAAACATTTAATTCTAAAAAGTAAATTAGGGCCCTACGAGCTTGGGTTTTGTGAATATACTATACACAATTTTTTAAAAAAAAATTTAAAATAATATTGAGTTCATCAACAAATAATTTCATAAAATTTTTCACATTAATGCATAAAATGTAAGGTTATATTTGGTTTATTTTCCGGAAATCGTGAAAACATGTAGGTATGAAATCATGATAACGTAGGTATTTACATCTAATTAATTTCAAGCAGTTATTAATTTACAAAGCACAAGTGCAGCTGAAAAATTTGCACTTTTATTTTAACATTGCAATATATCGTAAAGAAATGGCGATATTACACGAAATGTCGTCAATTTAACTAGTTTACTTCAACTTTTACTTAAATCAATAATTTTACTTTTATTTTTTTATATAAAAATTAATTTTATTAACACTCACGATAATATTTACTTGATAATTAAAGTTGTCATTAATATTCACAATAATAGCAAATTCGATATTTATCATAGCTGATAATGATCGTGATAATATCATATATGATAATCATGGATATAAATTATTTTCACGGTATTATGGTTTCTGATATTTGTCTTAATTGGTAATGATCGTTATCTATAATATTTTCATCATTATCGTATTCGATATTTATTGTAAGTAGTCAAGTTGTATCACGATATATTTCAGTTAAGTATTGTCATTGCAACGTCTAAATGATAACAATACTAATTGATTAGAATCGCCTTGCTATTGGGCTAACCGTGTGAGGTTTTAATTGGTTTTCCTCTCCATGCAGCGTAAATGCGGGTTAGTTCCATCAAAAAGTCCTCCACGAAGGCTAGTTTGTTCTAATGCTTTATCTAGAAATTCCCTTGTCTTCTGGGTTGGGTACAAAATTACAAGGTTACGGAGTTGAACTCCAGAATCAGGTCGACTTTTCAACGTCGGTCATAAGATAAAAATAAAATATTTTAATTAAATCTTTTAGATTGAATTATTGTTAACGAAAATTTTTAATGACATAAAACAATAAATTATAGAAAATATAAATATTGTTTAAAAAATAAAGCATTATTTAAAAGCAACTTACCTTGCAAGATTAGAACAGATGCAAAGAACAGAATAGCACTGAAAGTTTTCATGATGATCTTCTAGTCGAAATGTTATTAATTTGTTGAAATTATTCGTTTTTGTGTGATTTTTATATGAAAGTGAAACCCTATTTTATGTCATGAGACTCATTGTTTATTTTTATTCTAAAACAATAGGGGAATTTTCAGTTTCTGAACTACGAACAATGACTGTAACCGGGATTTTCCTTTTCAGTAAGAGTGAAAAATTATGTCGTTATTGCAGCGAATTCGATTTTTCTTCTTAATGTCCTTGAATTCCAGGTGAAAATTATAGTTAAATTTATTATTACCATCTCATCAACGTTAACTGCCAGAAGTAACAGTTATGATTCTCGTCTTTATTATGTAGTGGTGCATTAAATAAAAAACCACGGTAATATTTCATACATTTTGCAGTTAAATATCGTTTTTGCTTGTTTTAGTATTTACATATTCAATTTACAATGCGAAAAAAAATATATAAAGAATACTTTGATTTATTTTTAATTTAATAATTAGATTTTCAAGTTTTAGGACTCAATCTTAATGGTTCGAAATGACGACTTCAAATATGCTCATTAGTTAGTGCAGACGATATTTTAATCGAAATCAGACACAAAAACATACTTTTTCTGAATAAATGTTTTTTTTCCACCCCCGAAATATAGGGGGTAGCCGTAATCTGGGTATTTAATCAGCTAATTCTGCAGTATTTAATTAGATAATTTACACTGTTTATTGCTCAATTGATTAAAATTAACATGCATTTCTAAAATTTGGTTTGATGCATTTTTACCAAGTAATATTTGTATTTATAATTGATGAAACATTCATTTTCATTTACATCCATTTTTTCTTTAAAATTTAACTTTCTTGTTTAATTTGTAGTGGATGAGTAACTTTTGTTTAATTTAGATCAGTTATAATTTTTATTTATTAAAGCAATTGTCATAAATTTCTGATCCTGAATATTTTTCCATACATATTTCCATTCAGTTTTCAATTGATATCACAATTCCATGTAAAAATATTCTTTTTAAAATAGTAATTTTCTATATATATTATATGAAATCTATTAAATGCTATTAAATGTTCATGAGAAATTTTTAATTTAGAAATTTTTTTTTATATAACTGTCTTTTTTTTATTAACTATGTATTTATGTTTATTGTATATATATTGTGCATGTACTGCTTCTTGCAAATAAACTTCTTGTGCTATAAAATTTGTTTTCATTGCAATGCTTCAACTTAATTCATATTAACTACTATTCTTATTTCTTGATAAAAATAAATCTTCAAAGGAAAAATTTTGATTAAATAATAACTTATGAAATGTGTTATTGCTCACATTTATTTATAATATAATGTAAACTGTAGAATTAACATAAAAAGGCATTTAAAAACAATACATAAAAAGACATTTAAAAACAATACATAAAAAGACATTTAAAAACAATACGTAAAAAGACATTTAAAAACAATACATAAAAAGACATTTAAAAACAATACATAAAAAGACATTTAAAAACAAAATAATTAGTAAAATTTGTAGTATTGCCCATATTAAAAACTCATAATGCTGAGGATTTAAAAAAAAAAAGCAGTAAAAGAAATAATTTATTTAAACATATTCTAATAGCAGATTGCCCTACTCCCCTCCAAACAAGTTCTCATCACCCTGGAACAAGTTCTGTTCCCTTTCGCTCCTTACGGTTGCTTTTCCTGCAGTGCTCGAACATCCCACAGCAGGTTTTCCTTCTTCTCCCCTATATATTCTTTGGCATTAGCTTGGATGAAAGAGGGGTGCAAAGTTTGGACCCCTTTTAGTTTTAGCTAGTACTTAAGTTAATTTTACGTTTTGCGTACTTCGACATATCTCGAGTACTTATTAATCGAATTGAAAGACTTTTGCACACAATTATAAAATTCTTTTCTCCAAAAATAATTCCAGAAATAAATGTTTATAAAAACTTTTTTAAAATTGTTTTATTTAATAATAGTCGAAAAAATTTTGAATTGTAAGGTATAAATATTTTTGCATCATCTTAAAGAATTTAATTTTACACGGCAAAATACAAAATTTAAGCGAAAACAGTCAAATAGTTCTTGAGAAAAAATACGACTTTTTGTCTAATGCTTGATAGAAGAAGAAGTGAAACATACATAAAGTGATAGGTTGACACTTCTTATAGTTATGTAGTTATAATAACAGTGAAAAGAAAGTACGAAAGAAAGAAAAGAAAACATGAGCACCATTCTTGTTGATTATGTAAAATAACCACCTGGCTTCACATTTTCGAGTGCCCCTTACCTAACATTATTACTTTTCGATAACTTTATGGTTATGAATTTGATTTATAAGAAGGGGAAAAGATAATTTTAACCGTTTAAATTCTCCTTGGGGCTAGGGAAAAGAAAAGTTCTAAAACATGAGCAGTTGTATCAAATAAGCTTTCAGGGGAGAATTTCCCCTTAAATTTATAAAAAAAATCTTTAAAAAATATTATTATTATTTTCTTTGCAAGTACTAACTATTTTACATATCCAGTATTTTCTGTCTACCTATTTCAGCTATTAGCTCCCTTTTCTTTGGTGCAGTGAGACTTCCAGAATTTTTTGGAATAGATTTGTTGATAGGTGGAAAAATAATTATTTTAACCAAGTTCAAGAATTATTTTGAGGGAGTAAGACATGAGAAGTTCGAAAAAAGATATAAAGCGTTGTATTAAGGAGGCTTACATTGAACATAGGGGATTTTCATCCTTAAATTATTAAAAAAAAAGAAGTTGTTTATTTGTTTAGATATATATTTCTTTGAGTATTCCTCTCAAATTTTTACTTCTCCAACTTCTTAGAATTAACTTAATTCTTAAAATTATACTTTTCCTTACCACTAAACCAAATTCATGGTTAATTACCGATAAATGATAAAACGAGGAACATTTTACAAAAGAATCAGCAAAAATGGTATCAGAATTTGGTTGTATTTATTTATTATTTTTCGTTCAAAGCGGTGCAATACATTCAAAAGATCTAGATTTGTAAAATATTCAAAATTAAATTATTTTCGTTTTTGTGAAATTTTCATGTTAAGCCTTTTTTTATTCAGAAAAAAAAAAAAAAAAAATCTCAGTGCTTTCAAAACAACTAAATCGCAGCCGACATTATTTTATTGCACAACCGTGTTACACAACTCATAATTATTATTGTATTTAAACTAGAAAATATTAATTTATTCATAAACATTAATTATATTAATAAGCACGCGTTATGGCTTCGAATTCCAATCATTTAAAGACTCAGCCTTTCAATACTTATCTCTTAGTTTCATTCAACTTAATTGGTTGTGGCTTACAATTCCATCTTTATTGAGATTGACCGCGATAACTATCGGACAAATTCTGATAGTCCTCGATTATTTTTTTTAAAACTTTATTTTCTGTATGGATTCTAAAAAAAATTAAAGGCATTGAATAAGGAAAATTTTAATTAGTATGCATGTTTAAGTTTCTGTTGCATAGCTTTAATTCTAATTAACATAAATAGTAAAGTTAAAAATATATGGAATTACGTTGTTAACTTAAATAAAAGCCAAAACAGAAAAAATAAACGAAGCGAAATTAACTAAGAAATTAATTATTTAAAAAAGGGGTTGCAAATTAAAATAAAAATTAGTAACGCTAAACAATTAAAAATCTAACGAAAAACTACAAAGGAAGGCGGGATTGAGAACATCAGAACTTGGCTCATTTGTTGGAGAAAACAGAGAACTTACAGGTGGTGATTCGAAACACCTCTAAGTTTCCCCAGGAAATCAAACTGGTTTGTTTCCTCTTTGTTCGCCAAGTTTCTTCCACTCTTATTACAATTTGTTTAACTTAACTAATTAATTTGATTTGGTAACTAAATTAATATTTAAATAACTCTTAAAATATTAATTTGGGATCCTTAATATTTTCAAATCTTGATTTCATATTCAACGATTGTACTAAAATCATATAATCAAGGGTGGTGATTTTGAAACACCGACTAAAATTTAATTATGCGACTTATAGTTAAACAAAGCCAGAAATAGGTCTTTTACAATGAAAGAAAAATCAAATTTAGCTTTACTAAGGTTCATAGACAGGTTAGCAACCTAAAATGAGCATTCACTATTCTTCCATGCAATAGAATATTTTATTCATCAAATTTTAAACAGATTTTGCGAAAAATCCCAGCTATCAAATGTGATGAATGATCTATTAAGTATCCTTCGTCCTGAGATAATATTACAGAGTTGGAAAAAAAAGGAAGCTACGCAGACGATTTTCGCCATAAACCAAACAGATCATCAAATTCGTAAAACAATGCGAGATAGCTAGTTTCACTTTCGAAGGTTTGGAAAACCCCGCAGGAAGAGACTTCCGCTTTCTCGGAAACTGAAAATTCCCAATTTTTCAACAAAGACTAAATTTTTATGTAAACATTAAATTTCCAGTATAAATATGGAACGTTGTTTGAAGAAGAATCATGCGAAATCCATACTACGGTTGCAGTGCCAAATTTATTCTATCTTTTGCTGGAATTGAAAAAACATATCATGAGGAGTTTCAGTGCTGTTATGTTTCTCGTAGCTGTTTTAGTAACTATTGGTAAGATTTTCTTAGTTACTAAATCACTTGTTAAAAATTTTCTTATTTTTTCCCTCTTTAAAATTAAATTTCATTGGCGAATAATTCTTCAGAATATATTTCTGTTGTAAATAAATACAGCAGCTTACTAGTTTAGGTAATTAATTTCGTAGTTAAAATCCAGGATAATGTTTAGTTCGATGTTAATTTTTTTGCAATTTATTTAACGTTTTACACTTAAACTGAAAAAAAAAGGAAGTTGTGCAGACGATTTTCTCAATAAATCAGATAGCTTGTCAATTTCGCAAAATGATGCAGGATAGTAGGTTTCACTTCCGAAGATTAAAAAACCCCACGGAAAAAAGACTTCCTGTTTCTAGGAAATTGAAAATCTTAGATTTTCCTTATAAGCAAAGTCTAACTTTTTATGTAAATATAAAATCCAAAGTATAAAAATGGAACGCTTGCTGAACAAAAAATCATATGTAATCGAAACGGTTGCAGTGTTAAATTTCTTTCAGCTGCTATTGGAACTTTAAAAAAATTTTTTTTTTTAAAAATTATGAGGAAACTTGGAACTGTTTTTTTTCTTCTTGTAGCAGTTATTGTTGCTTTTGGTAAGATATTTCAGTTACTAAACAATTTATTTATAATATGCCCTTTATGAAAATTGTATTTAATTTTCTGAGAATTAACCCTCGAAGCTACCAAGTAAATTAATTTTTTATTAAAAACTTGCACGTTGTTTTGTTTAAAATTTCTCAATGTAACGCCACATTTATTTTTAGTAATTTATAACCAACAGATTTGATGTAACTTTTTTTCCCTTGGTGTTCGTATTCACTTGATAACGTTTGAATAATTTCTTGCATTGATGGGGGAAAAGAACCCGTGAATCTCGTGGTGCGACCGGGTTCTAAACCTTTCAAAAGTTCTTAATTCTAGAAGGTAGAAAATAATTAATAAAACACTAGATTTGGGATGGGCAAACGTAAATGATGTTACTAAGCAGATGAAATTGCATTAAAAGCAAAGGATGACCTTAAAAAAAAAATGGAAAAAAAAAGGATGAATGATCACAGAGGTAACGGGGAATCGTGTTTTATTGAAAACTGTTGTCGAGTTGTATTATTAAGAGCCGTTGATTTCTATCTTTTGTTTCTTCAATGGTAATTTAATTTTATTTAAAAAAATATTACAATTAGGTGTACACGTAGGTGTTTTATATCCCCCCTTCTTATCTTTAAATAAGTTAAGCAGATGCAGACGATTGCTGGAGCTCCAAACAGTGTAGAGCGAATTTTCTTTTCATAGCTTGAACTTAAACTATTCTTTAGACATAACCTAGCATCCTTATGCCCCAATTAAGAACAAGAGATTTAAATTTGAAATGAACTCTTTAATCTTAGTTTAAGACATAACAAACACACCTGAAGGAAAACATAAACCTATCTTTATCATCCTGGCAATTAATTTTTGTATTCGATGACATATTTATTGCATGAATATCTCGTTCCAAACCTCGCGAGATTTCATTTACCTATCGAGATTTTTTAAAGAAAATTCAAAATTTTCTGGTAAGTTTAAATTTAGTTTTTTGAGTAGAATAATGCTTTAAGGATGAGAGGAAAAACATCATTTAAGACTTAATATAACTTGTATGTAATTTAGCTTGAAGATAAATAGTGGGAAATTTCGTAAAAAATGATAATAAAGATGGTTTGCTGTTGTTTAACATAGGTATTATAAACTTAATTCAAATCATTCTAATAAAATTATCTTTTCATTTTCAGTTTACTGTGATGAACCTAAAATAGGAAGGGTAAGTTTGTATAAGAACTTTCTTTTTATATAATTCCATGATTATCTGTTTTGGTTTAATTTTTTATAAAGATGTATCTGCTCTAAATTACGGACCTATATTTTGTATCAAATAAAAAACAAACAGTATATAGAGACATTTTTTACTTATTTTGAAATATAGGTAAATCTCTAATGATAGACTTTTCTAAGTCTCAAAGAAAAAGAGAATTATTACTAACGGAAACTAACGTAAAAGTAAATTTTCGAAATCTTCCTATTGTCTTAGTTTACCTTTATCTTAAATGATTTCTTTTTATTATATCTCACAGCAAAGTTGATTAATTACCCATTTTCGGCCATAAACGCGCCACCTCAATAAATATTTTTCCCTAATTATATTTTTCTGCTATTGTCAATGGTTTTGAAGACATCGATAAAATAATTAGTAATTCAATTGGACTCAACACTTTCTGTTGGGGAAATTTTTAAACTACTCTAGTTCTCTAACTTGAAACAGTTATTGTTAAATTCGACTTATGGAAAATGTATAATTATTCTATTTGAGATTAATCACATGATTTTATGATGGGTTAAAGTTGCAAGTACTGTAAATAAAATAAAATACATTTCATAAAAAAACTAGTGTTCAACTAAATGATTTGGTCAATGGTGCATATACGCAGCATTTTATTTTTCACATAAAATAGAATTTTTCATGCACGAAACTTAAAGAATATAATTTAAGCATATTTAAATGAAAATAATACTGCTTTTTAAAAAATGTCTATGCTTGGCGTAAAATAGGTTAAAAATTAAAATCATTTATTATGGTAGATTTTACAATAATCTCTCATAGAAATTCTTTAAAACATGTTTCCATACAAATCATCCATGGTAGCAATTTAATTTGAGAAATTATATGGTTTAATTTTGAGAGAACACTTCTTATTTTTGTCTTATTTCATAAAATGGAAGGTATTCTTACGCAATTTAAAAGGAAACATATAGTTAAAAATCATATAAATAAGTAAAAAAAGATTATTTTTCTCTTTAGTGTAAGACATTGACTAATAATATAAGTCTATGGTGTAAGAATGTGAGTCAGTACACCGTTCTAATCAAAGTGTTTTTTCATACATTTAGTTTTCAAACAATATGATATTAATAATAGTACAAAGAATTTTGTTTCAAATATCTTTGATTATTTAAATAATAAATTCAGGCTATCAGAAAATTCATAGCGTGTTAGAATTTAGTGTTTAACCATTATTGAAGAAATGTGAATACAAAAAAAATACTATGAGCAACAAAAAATATGTTATACATTTAAATAAATTCGATCGAGAATCGTAAAAGTTGTTGAGCCCACAAGCAGGACAAAACACTGCTTTGAGAAAGCGCCATTTAAAATTTGTGAAATCAAAAACAAAACAATAAAATACAAAAAAATTTTGTTATACAACAAAAGCATCAGTGAAATTTATTATTTTTTTTTTTGCATATTTTTTTATACCTTAATGCAACATGTTCTTAAGTGTTAATTCTTTCAAATAATGTTAATTTAAGACTTTAAAATACATTGTGAAAAGTTCACCTTTTAATTTATTACTCTTTTCAATAGTTGAATTTAAATTCTTTGTATTTATGTTAATTAAAGGGTAACAAAAAGAGAATAAATCAGTTAATTGTTTTTGCATGCTAAAATAATATTAAGAAATAAATATTTTTTAAAAACATTTTTAGACTACATAGTCCAGGGGTGATTGTGAGCCCAAGTCAAAATTCCGGAAAATTTCTTGAGTAAAAAGAAAATAAAGTTTACATCGAAAAATTGGAAGAAAAAAATCTAAACAAGGTTTTTTCCTTTTTCCCAATATTTCTTAGTTTAGTTAAAATATATTTAAAATTTTACACAAACCTATGATGACCTGGAGAAGTAATTGAAATTTACAAATATGTCTTTCTTTCTTGAGTTTATGATTATAGTAGTTGTTTTGTTATATACATTACATCAAAGTAAATAAAAATGTCTTAAAGAATTAATCCAGTATTTTTTACTACCATATTAATACAAATACTCATAAAACTTTTCTCATCATTTTAATAAACTTGTAATTTTCATTACAGCCTCAATTCAGCTTAGATGCTGCAGGTGGTGGTAACAACAAGAAAAACTTCAATGTTGGGTATAATGCAGGATTGGGAACAAGAGTTTGGCAAAGTAAAAGAAAGGACATGAGTTTGGATGTCGGAGCAACTTACGGACGAGGTATAGCTAGAGTAGATGGCCACACCTTCAAATCCAAGCCTCAATATGGACTTGGTGCCACTTTCAAATTTGGCAAGAAATGAGAATTCAAAATGACAAACATACATGAAGTCACGGAAAAGAATATTTAAGCATAAGCGAATGTAAATATTGTTTTTTCATGTAAATAAAAACTTTTCTTACTTTTCTAGACATCTATAGTATTTTCTATTAACTAAGCAATCATAAAAAGAAAAAATACTACTAAAAATCAAATGATTAACTGTGACTGTAATTATACATGCTATTCAATTATTATTACAATATAGTCACTTAATTTAGAGCTTATTAAAAATATGCTGCTTAAATCTAAGATTTAAAAAAAAAAAAATTAAACATTCATTTAAAGCTTAGATTAACAAAATATATATAAGAATATTTCTCACAGTAGACATTTTCAAAAATTACCGGACATGATCAAGAAGAAACAAAAGTGATTTGAATTATAAAATGTGAAATTGCCAAAGAAGAATAAACTTGAGAAAAACTAGAAAATCCTCTGAAGTTCCGGTCTTACACAGAAAAAGTTGAAAAATCATAGTGGCTGAGAGAGACAAATCAGGGTAAAATGCATTTCCACATGCTAGTGAGATGCTGTGAGGAACTAATATCGTTAACAAGGGAATCAGCATTCATATGAATAAAACAAGATTCCAGGGTATCAAGATGAGCTGATGCATTTGGGATGTAAATAATTTCGGCATCGTCTCAATCGAATCTATGCTCTGCCATATTTGCAGATCGGCTTGAAATCAGATATCATATTAGTAGATAGAGATAAAATCCAAAATTAATATATCTAACTTAGTAAATAATACTTAAAACTAGTAAACAGCGGCTTACCTTCAGAATCCTCATTATATCACACTATTTAAAAACTGAAATTGTTTAAAAAAATCGGGTGAAATTTTTTAAAACATGTTGCGATTTTTTTCATGATCATTCATAAGTAGTATATTACATCAAACACTTAAAAGAACAATTAGTAACAGACTCACAAACAGAAAATAAACAAGACTTTTTTAAGAATAAATTTATCTTTATATACAAAATAGATAAAATAAAAATAATGTACATTGAAACCAACATGTATAAAGTCATTACACCGTATTAACACACATTAAATTATTTCATAGAAAAATATTTTATACTCACAAATATGATACATACATATTAAGTATAAATGCAGATTTGATTTAATTTATATGTAAAATAGACAAAAACAAGCGTACAGGGTGCATAAAACTCATAGCCTAAAATTAATAGAATCAATCACCACAAATTGATGGGTTAGAGATCAAAATAAGGATTTTTTTTTGGTTAATGTAGAATACTTGGCAGAAGAGGAATTTCAGCAAATTAGATTTGTTTAATCTATGGGTAATATTTGAAGGAATTTGGGTAATATTTAAAGGCAATGACCAATGTCTGCACTGTTGCTATTGTGAGTATTTTTAGATCTTTCTCCTTGGAAAAAGGTAAAAGAAAAAGATGTCTTGGTTTAGAAAGGACTTTCGAATCAATAAAGAAGAATTCTTTATGAATAGTGCTTCTCAATATTTTGAATAAGGTGTAAGCATATCAAAATTATATTAAATAATTAGTTCACTAAAAAGAAAGTAAAGCAAAATATTTTCTTACAAAAAAATTAAAATAAACTTATACAATTAATATAAAGCATTTCAAAAATACTGAAGGGTTGAAACAACATCAAAGGTAATTTTTTTATGAACCCATTTACATAGATCACATGTTTAAAATTAGTCTACACTTTAAAAGCATTGAAATAATGTTTGACTTTAAATAATAATGAACATTAACTTCAAAATAGATCTTTGAATTATGAAACAGACCTAGGTATTAATTTAATGTTATGCTTAAAGTTCAAACATGGAATGTTATATTTCATTAGAAGTTTCTAGAATTAAAAAAATTATGTCGGATGAAAATTTCAGTAAATATGTTCATTTTTTTTAAAAATAAAAATAACAGTATAAATTTTATTTATTATTCTTTAACAGTCAGAAAAAGAATCAGACAGCAACTTCAAAAGACTTCTTAAAATTAAAACTTCTTAAAATTAAATTACAATGAGCTTAAAAGGAACAATTTTGAATTATTGCAAAAATTTATATAATTTTGGAACATACTAAGCAGATCTGAATGTGTTATGAATATAAACACACATGATATTGTTAACAAAAAAAAAAAAAAAAAAAAATTGTGAATGAAAGCTTATCTCAAAATTTAGATAACAGATTTTCAACTAATTCAAAGAAAAAAATGTTCATTTTGATTAATTCTATCATATTCTTAAAGTTAAGCAATGAATTTAAAGCATTAAACACTTAGTTTGTTACCAGAATGGATAAAAAAGATCCTGTAAAGTAAATTTTGTGTCAAAGCCCTTCACTAACTGAAAGGTCAAACAATGGCTCGATTCTGCGGAATCAGATTTAAACGTGATTCAGATAAAATATAGGTTGGTCTGAAAGGATCTTCAGAATTCCTTAGCCCACCCTTGGCTGTCATGCCAAGTATGATGATGATGAAACATTGAGTTTAAAAATACAAAAATATTTTAAAATCACAATGTCAAATTTTTAAATGACCAAAAAATTTTGATGTAAGTTCAATTAATTTTAATACGGAAAAGAAAACCTTAATTCATATTATAACATTCAATTATATATTTGTTTCAAAATCACTGGTTAAAAAAATAATGTAATTTGGTCATTGTCACATAAAGTTAGATATAAATGAGAGGAATGTTTACGATGAACATCAGTAAAACAATATTAACTTATATTGCAAACTTAGATACTTTAGTCATTTGTTGTTGTTGTCGGCAAGTAAGGCAGAGGGGGGGGGGTGCTATAAAAAGGTACATAATAGACAGGAAAAAATTTATGTTAGAACTAGTAAATAAATTGAAAATAATTACAAACAAGCATAAAAATTCAAACAATAGAACAATATTTTTTAAACAACTAGAATAGTAAAAGAAAAATTTTGGCACTTAGATTAAATTGCATAAATTTGTGTTTTAATGTTAATTTTGAAGGTATTCAATATGTATTAAGTAAGCGACTAAATTACAAATTAAGAAGCAGTTTATGTTACACAAATCGTTCTTTTTAACAAATTACTATGTACTTGATTTTACAATATGAGCTAAATTTTCTTTTGATGTTACTTACACTGGGTTAAGATATAAGTTTCATAACACAAACAATAAATTTTAAAATTATTACATTATTTTAAAATTTAGTCATTAGCTTAATAAGTTTTGTCAGTGCTGCTTTTGAAACATTTTATTCTAATGGATTGCTTGTAAATAATTATTTAGAGAATGCTTTAAACATAACTAATTTAAATGTAAAATTTTTTTTATTCAACAACATAACAAAATGTAAATGAATAATCATTCTTTTACATAACATAAATGAATAATCATTCCTTCACATAATATAAAATAATAACATAAATGAATTTCCATTGCCTTTCACGTTAATTAAAATGCATTACTTAGAGATTGAAACTGTCTTTATTTTATTTTGCAATGCAAAAACCCATTTTGAAAGTTCATTTTTGGAGGAATTATTTTATTTAACTATTTATACGTTATTTAAACAAATCAAAATTTAATTTTGAATAAAATGTTTAGTAGGAACATTCAATAAAATGTAAATAATGATAAAAAAAGTGAAAAAAATAACATCTAATACTAAACAAAATACTGAAAAAGAAAAGAATGATAATCAAAAAGAAATTTTACAAGCATTTTGCAAAGTACTTTTTAAAAAAATTAAAAGCAGGATACAAAATAGTGATAAAGAAAGATATAAGAGCCAACAGATTAACATAATTTACAAACTAAATATACTATATTGTGCATTAGTGTTAACAATGATATATTTTTTGTAGGAAATTTTTTCCCCCTCATATATGGAGATAATAGATCATCCCTTGAAAACAAAAGTTTGTCAACAACAGTTTTCAATTTGTCTCTCTCAACATATTGCCAAACCTAAAAATTAAAAAAAACTTAGGAACAAGAAAAAAGTAATCCTAATCTTTTTATGAAAAAAAAAAAAAAAAAAAAAACACAAATAAAAAAAACGCAGACATTATACATCTAGTCATAATGTGTATTTTCACATTATAATGTGTATAAAAGACAACAATAATTAATGGCACAGAGGAAAACAGGAAATGATGTGGCTGTCCATAGAATTTTTAAAAAAACTGGAACTTATGAATTCTAGAAAACCTCAGTTTATTTATAAGTCAATCATTCTAATATAATATTGCTGATTGCATATGGCTCATTCAAAGTGAAATCGGTTAAAATTAAAAAAAAAAAAAAATTAAAAAATAAAGTTGCCATCATGACAATTTGCATGAAAATTTTTTGTAGAAAAGTTTTTGATAAAAAGACAGCTACAAAAATTTTTTCAGAATGTTAAAAAACTATGTTAGCAGGTTATTATGAAACTTTCTTCAATTGAAGAAAATGGTGTAGGTACAGAGTGGCTGGCATGTAAAAAATATCTTTATATTTATGATCCAATTTTTCAAATTTTGGTGGCATTAAGAAGAAAAATGTCAGTACTATGCAATTAAAATGCTGAAATTAGATGGGTAATTTTTTTTGGCAAAACTCATGAATTTTTTACTAGGAAGTAACACATTTTATAGTTTCAATATTTTTATCTCATGCTAAATATCCCACTTTTCATCATAAAAAGGGTGTTTTGAAAGTTTTTTTTATAGCAGAAAAAAAAATTTTCTTATCTTAATTTTTTCGTGTGATTTTAAATGTAATATTTTTTAATATGAAAAAAATATGTATAAATCAAGGAGGTATTTTTTTTTTGTTTTTGGTCATTTGAAAAATAAAAAGTGGTTTTTTAGCCAAAATACTTCAAGATTTTTACAGCCCGAAAACAAAGTTTCTCAACCTCAATTTTTTTTCTTGTTAGCTTAGATGAATTTTTTTTAAATGCTAAAAAAAAAATAAGAAGGTAATTTTTGGTCATTTGAAAAATAAAAGTGGCTTTCATCCAAAATACTTCAAGATTTTTAAGGCTCCAAACCAAAGTTTCTTTACCTCTATTTATTTGGAAATAAATAAATGCTAAAAAATTTTTAAGATAGAAAAATTAAAAAGGTGTATTTTGTTTTTGGCTATGGAAAAAATAATAAAATGGTTTTTAGCCTAAATACTTTTTATGGCACAAAAACAAGTTTTCAGACATAATTTTTTTTTTGTTTTTGGATCCGTTTAATTATTGTATTGCACTTTCTGTATTCTAATATTTAAATATGTTTTGTTAAATATGTTGATTACTTTTCAAATCCAGATATCCTTTCATGTAATTACAATTAACATAGTAACAAAATGTGCTTACACTAAGCCATAATAACTACATATGTTTCATAAACAAATTCAATTTTTTAACCAACTTTAAAGGAAAAAAAGTAATAATGAATTAGGGGCAACCATGGGGTGTGGGAAGCAGAGCCCACAAGTATTATCTAAATCATAAGTTAGTAAATTTGTACCTACCATAAAACATTTGAATTTTAAAAGTACTTCTATTTTAATTCAGCTAGTTAATCATTCTGACATAAGAATTACGCATATAATAAATATTATCAAAAATGAGAAGTTGGTGAGTTTGGAACAACATCCGTGGTGTCTTCAGAATGTTTAAGAAAAACCATTTTTGGTACTTAAAGATACTTTTATTTTTATAAGTCAACTATTCTGAAACAATAATAGTGCAGATAATCTTAAAAATATTGTCACTAAATACTGGGAAGGCAAGGGTGGCTTAAGTTAACTTTCTACAAAATTCATACTATAGCAATATAATTTTTGTTGTTTATTATTCTGTTAGATTTTACAATATTTCTTATTTATTATTAAATATACTAAAAATAACAGTAGAATTTTCTAATTGTGGATTTTTAATAAGCCTAAATATTAATTTTTTTGACTCTCAGTAAAAGAATCTTTGTTTCCCAAGGATTTTTGCTAGGCAATACAATTTGATATAGCATAGTATAAATTGAGAGAGCGTAATACAATTTATAGCATAGCACAATTTAATATAGGATTTATATAAGATTTATATCACTCTTATATTTGATTTCCTAAACATCATATTTAGCCTATTGGTAGAAAAAGGTGCTGAACTATTGGCTAGATTACTATTATACAATTTTACATAGCATAGTATAATTTGATAGAGCGTAATACAATTTATAGTATAGTAAAATTCAAAATAGGAGCATACATAAATATAATATTTAGGCTATAGGAAAAAAAGATGCTGAACCATTGGTTAGATTACTATTATAGCAAAAATCAATAGCAAACTCAAAATTTATATTTTAATCAAAATGTCTAAGAAATAGGCCAATATCAAAAATGTATATTATAAAAAAAAATTCAAGACTCACTTTTCAATCAATATATTATTTTCTTCTGCAATTTCCCATAAAGTTGAATGCTCTTTCTTCAAATTCTGCAATCTATCAAGCAATAAATAATCTCCATTAAAATCAAGAAATAAAGAAAAGAAAAGCGTTAATAAAAACCAAAAGTTATCACTTACTGAGCAAAAACCTTTGTGTAAGTTTGGCGTTTCATTTTTAAAGGCACTTCTCCATTAATTTCTTCTACATTTGAAGAATCTCTTCTAATAGAAATAGATGCTTGCTTTTGATTTGGTTCCTTAGATTCAGATGATCTTAATGATGAAATAATTCGTATACTTAGATCATAAGCTTGTGATTCCGCCTAAAAGTTTTTAATATATTTTAAAAATCAAAGAAAGTCGTCATATAAAAGATTATTACACTATATAAATATCATAAGGTATTATTTTTTCTTTAAAAACGAATTAATGAAGCACGTTTTTCACAAATTATAGGTCAATAGAAACTATACAAACAGTAGGTCAAGAAATTTTAATGATAACAAAATAGTAGGTAAAGAAATTTTAAATGAAAGAGGTTCATTCAAAATTGCACTAGGTTAATCAAAAAGATGCAATTAGCATAAAAAAAAGGTTGAGAATGTAAAAATTAGGCGATTAACAATCAATTCAATATGTTATAAATAGAGAAATAGTTGCTTTGGAATTTTAGCAAAATAATGAATGAAAAAAACGTAACAAAAATAGTCACAACATACTAACTCAGATGTTTTCCCCAATTAATATGGCTCTTTGTAAAACCAGCTTATTTCTAATAAATAGAAGACAAGATGCTTACAAAAAAAAGATATAAATAAAAAAGATATAGATTAACTTCGTAACTCTAGATAGATGGTCGATTGCATTTTTGTGAGTTCCTCATTGTGGCATTGTATTGAACATAACAAAAACTATTTTTTTCCCCGAATAACTCAGTGGAGCCACACAGATAGGTATTACAACAGCCTTTGTAATCTAATATAAGTATGAAAATTGAATTAAATAGAAATGAAGCTCAGAATTTAAAGTAAAATAAGTCAAAATGGCAAGGCTCTATAAGCAGCTGAAGCCAAAATTGTCTTAAGTAAACAATTTAAATAAAAATGTGAGAATTTAAATAAAAACTAAATACATTTTAAAGATACACATGCTAGCATAAACAGTGCCATGCTAACATGGTGGGGCTTTTCTGTAATCAGTGGTTAAACCAAAAACTAACTATGCCCCTGAGACCCCATAATGGAAAACAAAATAAGAATACAATATAATACCTCAAAATAAAATTGAATATCCAGAGAAACACAATTTAAAACAAAAGTAACTTAAAGTCATAAGTGCAATGAGGTAAAAAAAAATTAAAATGAGAACAACACATCTACATATTAAATCAACAAAGAGAAAGTTACAATTAACTAACCAAAGTTAGTATACCAAAGTTCAAAGAGGTATTACTATCTATCTAGTAATTACTATCTAGACTAACATTGAACTTTGATTTAAAGGAAAAAATGTTTTAATTTAAAATTAATTAAATTTTTTTCATTATGCTTGATTAGTTTAGGTGAACTAAGGCACTTACATCCCTTCAAAAATATATAAACTGGAGTTAAAATTGATGAAAATGCATCAAGAAAATCTTAGGAGCCAAAACTATTTAAAAGAAGCTTACATTAGAATTTCGTTTTAAATAGTTTTTCCAATTGGGTATAATATGAAAAAAACACAACTACTTCGATTTAGTAGGAACAACATATGACGCAATGCTAAACGAATGGAATTTAGTTGTTGTTTATTTAGTTATTGTTATTAGTAGTTGTTGTTATTTGTTTTAGTTGTTGTTGTTTATTTAGTTGTATTTAGTTTCAATAACTTTTCTTTATAATGCAATAAAATCTAGCGAGCAGCTATTTAAACGATCGAACACTTCGTTTGTTTATTTGTGGCTTGAAGTTAGGCTCGCAGAAAATGCCGTTCATGGGTTAAATTTAGTAGGAACAACACAACCTGTGACGTAGGCTATATTATACCCAATTACTGGATCAATTAACAGCAGCATGTGAGTTATGTAAGTACATATATTATGTAATTTTTTTATGAACTTTTTTAAGGTATAATGATTTTATGAGGTTTAAGTAAATATTGTTGTACATTTGTATAACAATCAATTAAATAAATATTAAGGATATAACCATCGTAATATTTCAGTTAAATCAATGTACAGCATTATGACTCTAGTCAGATGGTCAGTTCCAATAGATTCCACTTTACCAGGTTTCGCTGTGATAATTTACACACACATTTGGAAAATAAACAATTATTAAGAGCTACCTGAATACACAATCATAATAAATATTTGAAAGAAAAACTTAAAAGAGAGCATCTAATAATAATAACAATTATCTTGATTTATTAGATAATTAAGAACTAAAAAATATTATCTGAATCAGTATAGATTTTAATATAATTACTTCTTGCAAAGAAGCACCATAGCTTTTAACTAAGGAGTTCACAGCAGCTAAATCTTCTTTAAGATATTTACACTGCACCATAGTTGCTTGCATGCCACTAAAACAAATAAAATTGCTTCAGTTAAATGGAATCCAGACAAAATGCTATAAGTATTCTTAATGTTTTGCAACAATTAGAATAAAATATTCTTAAAGCATGAATAACAACAGTTTTAATAATATAGTGGACCAGGGTGCATAGCCAAATCTTTCAACAAAAAATCAGCACCTTTTAAGTCTTTTTTAAGCACTCAAAAAATATTTTTAAGCACTATATACATTAACAAAATGCAAAATAATTTTCAAAGACTTTACATGATCATGATAAAATGACTAGTTTTTGACAAAGAACTCTTTTCTTGATTATATTAGCCATTAAAAAATGATCAAGAGATTTTTCGGATCGATTTCAGAGGGTGGAAAATGAAGCTTGAAATGGAGAACATATCCTGCAAAATGCAAAAGAGTCGCATATTAGAGTGCAATAATCTCACCGAAGTCAGCTCATTATACGTACATGCGGACCGGCAAATATTTCATTAAACCTGTAAAATGATTGGCGGTTTTAATATGTTACGGACCGACGGTATGCCGAAATGCATTTTGCTTGAATGAATTGTGAAAACGATGAATAGAACAATGTGGAAAGCACAAAGCTTTTGCACAATATGTGGCGAAAATCGACATGGTAAAGAAAAAAATTTTATTTTCGAAAAGGGAAAATTAAGCACTTTTTTAAAAACACCCAATGAAAAAAGCACCTTTAAAGGCTTTTAAAAATCAAAAAATTAAAATAAGCACCTTTAAGCACTTTTTAAAACGCTGCGTACTACGTGGAAGCTTGTACTTTGCTTGTTTATGCTTGTTATTTTGTTTATGCTTTACTTTCAAGCTGTAAAGATTAGTTAATACCACCAGCATAAACAATCGCAGGCATTACTTTTCCTGCTGCAAACTTCACATTCTTTTGTATTGATCCTATGAAGAGAATGAAAAAATTCTTCTAGCTATTTTAGCATGAATTAAGGTATATTAAATTTAAAAGAGAAATTATCTGCACATGCTTTGTTAAAAACAGTGTTATATATATATTTTTTTTTTAAGTTCATCAAACATTAAAAAAAAAAAGTTTTTTTTTTTTTTTTAAAAGGTTCTAAAAAGGAACAATCAATCAACTAAACAGATTCCAGCCATAAAATTGCTTATCTGGGAGCAAGTTCTGGGGCTGCATGCAAAGTGTGCACGTATTCTCTAATTCAGATGTTTGAGGGTTTGAGATTGGACACAAAAGCCTGCCAGTTAGCTAGTCAGCACTGGGATCAGGACATTTGAGTTGATAATTATCTTGGTGTCCATAAAAAAAGAGAGGGCAAGGACGGAATGTTTAAAGAAAATTGCAAAAAATGATACTGAGAAATTCATATAGTAAAACTGATCTGAGAGTAAAAGAAAAGCCAAAACAGAATGTTATAATTCAATTTTTTGCAAAATAAACAAGATTTCTATAAATTTTTTTGTATTGTACCACAAAATATTTGCTGTGAATACAAATATATAACATTAAAAGTTTTGCTCTTTTTATTTCTTTTGAAAAATTTATTCACATTTCTATAACTCCTTAATTTTGTTTCTAACATAAATTGAATTATTTGGAACATTCACTTCTTATTCTTTAATTATTGATTTTCAAGAAAAATATTTTTTGACTATTCTTTTTAATAAAAAGTCTACTCTACATTTAACATTATTGTACAAAAAAAAGAAATAATGAACGCTTTGAAATCTATAGTCACCTGAACCACTCATCCAGTTTATTAGAAGCTTGGAGACATGACTTCAAACACTGTTCTTGAAGAAGAGCTTCAAGTTTTTTACTTGTATGCTGTACTTTAATTCTACGTTTGAAGAAATAAAGTTGTTTTTATCAATTTTTTGAAATTCAGAAAAGTTTAAAGAAGCAAGAGAAAATCTATATTACAAATTTTTACACACTTATTACAAACAGCACTGCATATGCCAGATAAATAAAAGTAATAAATATTTCCTAATAGTAATAATTTTAAGATTAAAAAAGTAAAGTTTGTTAAAAAAAAAACTAATGACAATAATATTATGAATATTAAAAATAAAAAAATATTGATTACAGATAAAATGAGCTTCTAATTTGTAAAACGAAATAGAATGTTAGGAATTAAAAAGAAAATTTCAAGGAAAATTTCCATTCCAGTTCTTAGTATTCTTTTAAAAAGAAATTAGTCATTATCTGTTTAACCATGAAAAATTAATAAATAGCAAAACAACATTGGAGCCCTGAGGACAATAGAAAAAGAGGGAGACCTAAAAAAAAAACTTGGCACAGGACGATTGTAAACGAATTGAAAACAATAGGAAAGACAAAGAGAGAGGCAAAATATCAGGCCGCAAATAGAAGGAGATCGAAAGCTATAATCGAAGCTTTATGCTCCAATTCGGAGTAAAAAGGAATACGTATGTAAAACATTAATCAGTAATTTGCGAGCCGCGATTGCTTAGGGGATAGAGCGTTCGCCTTCCAATGTGGCGAACTGGGTTCGAATCCCAGTAAATACGAATTCCGCATCTGACCACAGTGCTGAGGTGAAATATCCTCAGTGGTAGACGGATCATGGGCTAGAGTTCCCTTGCCATCAGGCTAACCGTGGGAGGTTCTCCTGGTCTTCCTCTTCATGTGACGCAAATGCGGGTTAGCCCCATCAAAAAGTCCTCCACAAAGGCAAATTTCTCCCATTACTCCATCCAGGAGTTTTCTTGTCTTCTAGATTGGGTTCAAAATTACAAGGATACAGAGTTGAACATTAGTAGTTGTAAACCCATAAAATTGGGTCGGCTGTTCAACGGCGGCTATGAAATAAAATCAGTAATTTTAAAGCTGTGATGGCTTAAGAGATAGAGCATTTGCCTTCCACTGAGATGAACAGGGTTCAAATCCCAGCGATGGCTGGTCGATATGAATTCCGCATTCGGCTTGCACCGACCACAACGCTGAGGTAAAATATCCTTAGTGGTATGATCACGGGTTAGAGTCCCCTTGCCATCAGGCTAACCGTGGAAAGTTCTCGTGGTCTTCCACTCCATGTAACGCAAATGCGGGTAAGTTCGATCAGAAATTTCTCCTAATACTTGATCCAGGAGAGTTCCCTTATGTTCTGGATTGGGTTCAAAATTACAAGCTACATAGTTGAACAAGAGGAGACGTAAACCCAAAAATTGGGACGGCTGTTGAACAACAGTTATAAAATCAAATCAGTAGTTTGATATAAACAGATTTTTTAACAGAAAGAAACAACAGTGGAAAACTGAATTTTTTTTTTAAATGTATAAAGAAATTTCACAGCAAATTGCAAATTAAAAATTTAAAAATTAAATTTCAGCTTAATTATTTTATGGTCAAATATAGGTAATCAGGTTTAATAAATTATTAAAAAAATAATAATAAGTAATACTTTCTAAAAATTGATAAATCAAATACAAAAATACCACACACTTTTCTAAAATATGAAACTGTTCATCTTGTAATGAAAGGCCTAAAACAAGAAAATAGTTAGAGTTACCTTAAGAAAAAGAGGACTATAACAATGCATTTTGTTTAAAGTAATCATTATATGCGACAAAAACTTCAGAATGCAAATCTAAACAATATGTAAAATGCATTGTCTACAAATAAAATGTTTTCTTTGTTAATTTGATTAAAATTAAAACATAAAATAAATTTAGATTAAAAAAATAAAACTAAGTAAACAAGTTTTGGTTTTATATTATGAATCTAATCATTAATATTTTTAAGAACTAAAATACTAACTATAAATGTAATACAAATTATTAGTTCGGAACTTTCAGACTAATTAAAAAAAAGGCAATATTAGAAAAAAGAAAACTGTCTCATGAATCAATCATTTATAAAAGAATTTAGTTTAAGTATTTCCTCTATAGGAATCAGGCAAAAATGCTAAATATAATCCATTTTTATTGCCACTAGAAAATCAGATGAGTAATTATTTAGCATGTAAATGATTTCGATAATATACCTTAAAAATGTCAGAATTTTAAGAGATGGAACATTATTTTCGAATAAACTGAATAATATTATTCATCTAACCATTTTCAATAAGTCACATAGCTAAAAAGTATTTAAAATAATAATGGAAAAAATGCACTTTTCGGAATCATAAATGGCAAATTACCAACTATAATTTTATCAGAAAAAAAACTTTTAAAAGTTATAGAAAGCAGACTGGGAATTTTAACTGTAATTTGTATTAATGTACATTTTAAATGATACTTAATTGCTGAATAAAACTTCAGATCAAATTACTGAACAAATTAAACTTTTACAATAATTGATTAAAAAGCATAAAAATACTAATTTGTCAGATTTTCTATTAAAATGTATAATGCAAACAAATCAAAAAATACAATTCAAATTCAGAACATGCTATAAATTCTGCGTGCAATCTATGAAACAATAATAAATTAAACCTTACTAAAATACTTTACGCTTAAAAGTGCTTAAGTTGTATTTCACCCAATTGGTTAGCATTTGAATTATGAAAATTTTTTAAAAATAAATAATAAAATAAATTTCAAGATGTCACATACAGAAAAATAATTTTTATGAAATTATTTTCTTCAAACATAAATAAATATTAGATTTTTTGGGGTTTAAAAGAAATAGCATTTAAAAAAGTATGAATATTTGTTAAATTTATGGCGGGAGTGGGCGTGTACTCTCTAGTGTTATGCCTTTGGCATTTGTCTAGAAAACAAAAGACAGATCACATCAAGACTTTGTAAACCCCATGAGAGGTTAAAACTGATAAAAGATACTAAATAAATAATCTCAAGAAACTGAAGTAGTAAGATATTATTTAAGACATTCAAGCCTGGCAAGTCTTGAGAATGGGTGTCTATTTTTGAGTGCTTAAAACTTGTAGGCTTTAATTTCCATCTGAAGCTAATGAAGTTCCTTAATCAATTAACAGAAGATATATTTATAAATGATAATTTAGAGGGTTGGCAATTATTTTAAACTTGTTATAGAAGTGAAATACTTTTATAAATTACCTACAGACGGAGTGGAATTAATATAAAAAAAAGCACTGTCAAAAGTTGACTTTATATAAATTATAATATCAAACATATTGAAATAGTACCTCTGGCATTTCTGTCTCTCACAAAAGACTGCCAACTTCCACGTATTATTCGCACATAGGTATCAGCAGTTTCAATGCTAATTCATAAAAGAACATATTTTAGTTTATATACAGGGTGTAGATTTATATAGAATCAAGAGTTTGAAGTCTAATTGTTTAAAATTAATAACCAAACAGTTCTGAACATTATAAATGTTTTGTCAAAAGTTGAAAAATATTTCTTTTTCAAAATTGATAAATAAAAATAATTTTGCTTTATAATATAAATTTTTCAAAAATAAATAATTTTATTTACTTGGAAGGAGTGTATCTGATGAAAGTTAATATGTAGACTAGATAATAAAACTAAACACTAATAAATGGATCATTTAAAAAAATGAAACCCTTATACAAAAAAATTCCAGAGCAAAAAGTGAACAACTTTCAAGAGCTGATTCTCCTCCAAAACAGCAACATAGGATTAACAGCTCAGGTAAGAATTAAGAAAGGGTGCTTCTTAAAAAAATGAGTGTCATGTTCTAGTGTTTGAGACATGAAAACTTTCCCACTTAAATTATGAAAAAAAAAGTTTCTTATTGACAAATATACAAACACGTATGTTATTTAATGACCTTTTTCCATTGTATAACTTGAGTTTAGTAGCTTAAATTTAACTCACCAACCAGTCAAATGTGAGCATTCAGAAGCTAGCTGTTCCCACTCAGCCTGTAGTCCTTTCTCTGGAGTATGCATTGAGTTCAAGACCCTTTGCTTCAATGTATTGATCGCAGAATAAAACGGAATGAATTTTTGCTTCACCTTAAAAATGGGAAATGTTTGAAATTCAGAATCACAGATAGTTTTTTGATTAAAAAAAAAGAAAAATTAAACTTTATTATCACCTGTTCTTTAAATTGTTTTCTTTCTGTGACAATGAAATTTAACGTCTGAAGTTCATTGTCACAATCATGTTCGTTTGGCCACAATGAGAGAAAATCAGCAATCATGTTTGTACTGAAAATCAAAAATGAATAGCATACTCATAAATATTTGAACATTCCACATGTTTTAAATAATGAAAAGAGTGAATCAAAATTCTTTTAAAAACATGCTTATAAAAATACCAATTCACTACTACACCAGCAACTAAAATAAAAAATGGCAAAGGAAGACACTCACCACCTTATCAAGAAAATATCATTGAAGAGAAATAGATTTTTACAATTAAAAATAGTTTATAAATTCACCTTTTCTGACTCATTAAAGATGATAAGTAGGTTCATTCCAGTAGAGTGACATGCGGAAAATTGTGGTCAAATATTCTACAAATGGCATTAAAATCATATGCAAGGGCGACAAATTTGTTGTCTTGATATTGAATTTACAAAAGAACAATGTAAAATAGATTTTTACATTGAATTACATACATTTAAAAAAAAATTGTTGTACTAATTTTATTGTTCTATGTATGGAATGGAATTCAAATGTGCGGTATTCGAATGGAATAACAGAAAGAGTCTGGTTAAAAAAAATTTAAAAGCTAAAATTTCAAATTTATATATTGTGCTCTGCTTTGCATTCATGTACTAGCAGTAAAATTGTTTGTTAATAAAATAATAATTTTTTCTCCTTTAGAATTGACTTTATTTAAAATGTTATAATTTCTAGAAAATAAATTTTTAGTATAATATTTTGTTACTTCTTACTTACTCTATTTTCTTTCTTTCTTTATTTAGTCATGGTACTTTAGTCTTTATGTTGAATCTTCTTGCTAATATTATTTTAGTTTTTTTTACACTTAATTTTAATAACTAGGTAGTACTACCATATTTAGGAAGATCAGAATTTTTTTTATTTCACCTTATGCTTTGATAACTGCTAATTTTTTAGTTTTATACAAATGCATACTTTGATAGCTGCTTAATTATTTTAAATTATTATTTGAACACAAGAATTTTCCTCATTGGACTAAATCACTTCTATTTCCAAAAATAAATTTGAAAGAAATTGAAACATATCAAAGTTTATCTTTTGCTAAACTTTTTCTTTTCTTCTCTAAAACTAAATAAAATTATTATCAATAATAATCAACACTTTGACTGATAAACAAGCAAACTTAACTTTAATATTAAATATAAATTACTAAAACAAAATTTAACAGGATTAAATATGCCAGCAACCATAGATATAATAAAAATGATTACAGGAATGAATTCTCCAATGCATTTCATAAAATTCAGGTAATATAATACCTCTTTTCAAGTTGATCACATCTATGGTATAAATCTTCAGTTTTTTGCTTCAGGGTATCACAGCTTGTACACAACTTTGAAACAGTATCAACAGCCACTGATCTGAAAAGTTTTTAAGTTTATTCAACCAATTATACCATTAAAAAATATTTTAAATTTAAAAATATTTATGTAACTCAGTTCTTAAAAAATAGAGAAGACTTAACTAAATTAGTTAAGATTCCACTGACTAATAATCTTTGACTAATTCGAATAATAATTCTTTGACTTGTAAACAATATTTAGCCTGATAATATAGTCAGTTTAGATACTACTGACTAATAAACTTTGATTGATTCGTCAACTAATAAACAATACTTTGACTAATTAATCAATAATACTAATAAAATAGTCAGGAAATAACTAAATTAGCTTATATTCTATTGACTAACAAACTATGACTGTGGTGGCAGTGATCGCCATTCTAAATATTTAGCAGTAGTTCAGGTATCATTATTAACTTTTGGTCGTTACATATGTATCTTAATTTGGATGTAAAATAATGATAATTATCTCACAGAAATGAGTAAAATTCTTTAAGAAAAATTGACTTATTAAGTATTGAAAATGGTCATAACTCAAAATACAAAAATAAACCCCGAAAAGGGATCAAGAAAAACATTCTCTTACATTGAGAATTTCAGTTAGGATTTTTATTCAATGGTTGTGACTGGGAGGCCCAAAAGGGCAGCCCCAGTCGATAAAAATTGGAAATTGAAAGTGAATAAATTGTTCCCAGTGAAAGTTAGGAGTACGGAAAGAGATCCACGGTTTGCGATTATTGAAAGATAACATGGTAATATATTATGTACATGGTAATAAAAAGATAATCAATATTAGATTTGAAAATACTTTGGCGATTAAAAATCACCAAAAAGACTGTGAAAATTAGCATAACCATGTAACTTAAACATATTTGTGGTAAGGAATAAAGAGTTAATAGATTTTTTGATAAATAGATTTTTGTTTTTGATTAGTAGCGGCAGTTAATTAATGAGTCTTATATTAGTACTGAAATAAAAAGTTAGTCGTTACATTGATTGATAAGAAAAGAATAAAATATTTTATATTCACTTTTTATAAATTGTAATAAAAATTAAAATATTGATTTAATTAAATTACGATTTGATTAAGAATGATTAAAAAAAATTAGTTCAAGAAATTAAAGATATTTTAAAAGCTAGGAAATATGTAATGCCCATTGTGGCATCACAATGACTAATTCTATAAAAATAATTCCTTGACCAATAAATCAATAATAATACCAATAAAATAGTGAGGAATTAACTAAATTAGTTTAGATTCTATTTTAGTTGATACTATTAAAATAGCATCGACTAAAATAATAATAATTTAAGTTGATATTAATTAAAAAATATACCATACTGATTAACAGATATCTCACAATATTTTCACTTGTCAATAACAGTGAAATTAATACAATAAAACCAGTAATGAGTAGTATATAGATATAGTTAGACACATAAATTAAAGTTGAACTTACATTAAGGTTTTAGGAGTCTTTAATAAAAGGTCCCTAGATCTCACTAATTTCACAACAATCCTCTTCACAGCATGAGCAACACTACAACATGTTTTGGCCAGAGCAGCATCATGCTCTGGACTGATGGAGGAGGGGAAATTTGGAAAACAGGCTGACAATGTACTTAGACGTGTCAAATCTTTTACGTTGGGATTTTCAGTATGGACTAGAACTATTGGTTGAGATTGGCTTGTTGTAGGATAAGTAGAAATTTCTGCAGTGGGGTGAACTTGAGTTGAAAATAAAGTCTTATCAAACAATAACATTTGATTACCAACAGGCACTTTTGTTTGTAAAGTTATTTGCTCCTTCAAGTCTTGTAAGCTAAAGTATAAAGCAAATAGTTATAAAATAATTGTGGGATACATAAAGAAAAAGTGTGATACATAACCTAACTTCTAGCAAAACTCATAACTTTACAAAAATGAATAAGTTAAATTATCTTCATGTATGTCACTCTATTAAGTCCAGCTTCTAATTACAATGTTTACCAATCAATAGCTTTAAATTTCTAGTTATCAAGTATATATTATTTAAAAAAATGCAAGTTATTAAAAATTATTGGTGATGTGATTATTTTTCAAATCTTAATAAATTGTCAATATAGCCCCTTTAACTTGTAAAAATTTTATTAATTTAAGGGGTTTTAAACTCTTATAAAATTTGATAATTTTAGCTAACTAAACATACAAACTTCTGATAAATTGGTAGAATTGATAGTTTTACAAAAAAAGAAATTATGGCTATTCTTAGAAGGTAACTTTGAAAAAGCTTTCCAATTGCAATAAGTCCCTATTAATTCAAGAATTAAATTCAAAGTTTAAATAAATTATTTAAATCATATTTTGACAGGTGTATGATCAAAATTTGTTGGCAGATTGGTTCTTCTGGTTAGCAATCTTAGATCTGAAAAAAGCATAGCAGTTAGTAATAGAAAATCAAGAAAACTACAAAAATTTTAAAAATATTTAATCCTGCCCCAATTACACAAGATCTAAACTTTAAGCTGTTGATTTCACAAAATCTACAGTTTTGTTCAACTTTTTTTTTGCATGTTCATGCCAGATTTTTAATGATAATTTTTAACTTACATGTACTGTTTCTTATTTATAACCATCCATTATTTAATTTTTTTTTTCTCACACAAAAATTCTGATAATAGAATTTGGATTATTTGCTTTATAGGTTAAGTAACAATAGAAATAAAACAAGTATTGAAAAAAAAAAAGAATTTTTTTAAGCTGTAGAGCTGGTAGCTCCAAACTTCAAGCAATAAGTTTTTATATTAATAATAACATTTTTGTTTTAATTGAAAAGCTCAAACATTTTTAGGATTCAATAATACAATTCAATTAATTTATAAATAGATAACTTAAATGCTTTTTTTGCTATGAGTACTTCGAATGAAACTGGAAAATATAAAATGGCTATATTCTACTTTAGATGAAGAAAAAAAATTTAAGCTTTTGTTGACTATTTGTACTGATTTTAAAACAGAATGTTGGCATTAATGAGCTTAATTGTTGGCAAACTTCCATGCTGCAACTTCATGCTTTTGAATATCATGATAATTCCAACATAACCATGCACAATGTGAAACAAATGGGTTCTATCTAACATAATTTTTAAACCAAATTAAGACCCATAAAAACTTCAAAATTAAATCTTACGTATGGGTGGGTTTCATATAAAGACATATTTCTTTGCCTTCATTCATGTAGAATACATGAAAAATTCTTCGGGAGATAATGTCCATTGCACATTCAAAAAACTGATCAAAAGTCCACATTTTTTCAGCATGGCATTCAAGAATTCCAGCTAAGAGTACAGTCACTAAATCTCTCAGACCCCTAAAAAAAAAATATTCAAATATTAGTACAAACGCATGCAGACATAAGGGTGAAAAAATAGTTGGAAAATATTAACTATTTGATAATTAGCTGAACATTAATGGTACATTAATCGAAACAATTTAAATGATTTTGTTTTGACAAATATCTTTCAATTAAAAAATATGTTTTGCTTAAATTAGTTTCTTCGTTTTTCAAACACAGATGTAACAACTTGGGAAAAAAAACAAACAGAACCTAAATAAACAATTTATTGCTGTTACATTCTAACACTAGGAATAAATAATAATTTTATTAGAAAAATAACATCATATTAGGATATTTTATTTATGCACTAGATTTTTAACGCAAAGTTCTTTTACCTAATTTATGAAATTAGTTTAGTATATTTAATCAAATTATGTAATGTATCAACACCCAACGCATTTTTAAAGAGTTGGGTATACATAATCTTAGGTTTGATAATAATTATTTAAAAAATAAAAATTCATATTAATTTTATGAAAAAAATCTATGCCTAGTACTTTTATTAGAATCAAAATAATAGACTTACTTTACAAAATAATATTGTAGTGAAATAAATCTTGAATTGCATTAGGACTAAATTAGAATTGATTTAATAATGACGTGCATTACTGATTTGCTTGCACAGGAAATCATTAAAAATTAATATTACAAGTAAGAACAGAAATATCATACAAAAAATGATTATTTAAATGATATTTATAAAATTATACTACTTAAAGATAAAAAATAAGCGAACCAGAAAAAAAACTATAGAATGTGAGCGTTTAGTTAGTTATTGAAAGTAAGTAAGAAAACTAACATTTTCAAAATTTACTTTTAACAAGTAAATGTTCTTTTTAAAATAAATAACAAACATAATGTAAATTAAAACTAGAATAAATAAAACATTACTGATTTAATAAGCAGGTTTTAGGTAATTCTCTGCTCCATTCAATAGGTCCTTTTTCACTATGTTGTACACCAGATATTACGCCAGATGCTTTAGTTGTAGTTATATAATGCCTAAAAAGCAATAGCAATTAAATTAGTTTTTTCTCTCACAATTTTACATTTGTTCTTTCAACACTATATAGAAAATATTAATAAGGAAATTATTTCAGACAGATGCTTTACATTATTTTGACTAGTTAATATTAATAAACAGAATTTTCTGTTTAAGAAAAAAAAAGTTGTCTCCTTAGAACTTATAAAAGTAAATAAAACATTTTTTTTAAAACTTTTGAGTCATTGATGGCCAGGAAATATTTAAAGCTTAATATAATAATTAAATAAAAAATTAATAGGCAGTTAATTGCCCATAAAAATACAACAGCAAAAACTTAAAAAGATAATATAGAAATTCTTACATTACTATATAGAAAATATTCTACACATATTACTATTTTTAATAAATATCATATCTTCTAGTCATGATTTAATTTATAATTTGAAAACTATTATTATGATTTTGAAAAATTACATTGTTTCACGATTTTTTCGTCCACCAAATGGTCGGAATGGTAATGATCCTGTGGCCACATGGTATAATGTAACGCCGATACTCCAAAGATCAACAGTTGCTCGAAAAGGTTTATTTGCAGGATGACGCAACACAGCTCTCTCATACATATCAGGGTGCTAAAAGTATGCATTACAATGAAAATCACTATCGTAACAGAAAAATTATTACTTAAAATTGTGACCGCAAAGAATGCCATACCAAATATTCTTCTGTTCCATAAAGTGACATAAATTGTTCATCATCATCAAGTTCTCTCGCAGCACCAAAATCAGTCAACTTGTATATGGATCTGAATTTTAGAACAAAGAGTTTATCAGCTTTATTTTTATGCATTTAAATAATTTCATGAAATTGTCACAATCATTGAAAGTGATATTTCATGTTTGTAAAGAGATATTTTATTTCCATTGACAAAATAATTCAATTTCAAGCACAAATTATAAGTAAAGAAGAAATATATCCTGGGCTAAACATCATTAGGAGACTTGTTGAGATATAACATAGGAATTCCGGGGGTCTGTCCAGGCCAAATTTATTACCGTTTAGCAGTACCTTCACAAATTTAACTTTACAAAATACTTTTTCTTAAAATTTTATTTTTGTATCCCATAAGAGACGATAAATCCATATTTTTGTGTTGATTTTTTAATATAATTTTCAATTTTCACAAAATAGGTACCTCTCACAAAAACCTAGACAGACACCTGGAATTGTGTTTCAGCAAATCTCTTACTTAATTCTATTCAGTCATATCTCCAACTAATCCCCAATCGCACTTTTTTCAAATCACACCTAATGATGTTCCTCGTATCTCTAATCATCATGAGAAGTGATTTCAATGTTTATAGCATACAAATAAAATGCAATAAACTATTCTTTATGCATTTCTTTAATGAATCTTTTAAATATGTATAGAAAAAAACCTTTTTCCACAAAATTTTTTTAAAAAAAGATCAAATATATATATATAATTTAAAAAAAAAAACAGTTCCTAATTATATTTATAAATAAACACCAATTTAAATAATTACTATTCAATTAGATTTTTCATAATAAAAAAACAAAATAAAAAGGCATTATCTTTTGCTTCGGAACTCTCTTTTCTCATTATCTTAGATTTCAGATAAAATTTATAATTTTTATTTTTTTGCTGTCTTTTTTTCACAAGTTTTTTGCGATTTTCAAAAAAGGTCAGAAGTAAAGTCTTTGCTACATTAGATTGAGAAAATAGCCTTTAATAACCTACAGAACTGCTAAGGATTTTTTTCAAAAATAAGTAAATAAAGCAATAAAATTAAACAGTTCAAATTTTGAAAACGTTATACAATATTGTAAATTATTTAATATAATATATATAAGTAATATAATATATATAAGTAATGTAATATTGTAAAATATTGCAGATTTTAAAATTTGCCTTCATTACTGCTTAAACTGACAAAAACATATTAGGATGAACCTGAATAATTCTTTAAACCCAATTTACTGAAAAACAAAGATATTTTTCTAAAAAAAAAAAAAAACAAATAAAGGTATAGAACTAAACTGCCTTTCAGAAAATGTTGATGGACAGAATTGTAATGGGTGATTGTACTGAAATTGCACTTGATATTTCTCAAATTCTGATAGGGAGAAGACATTGATTTTAACTTCTTTTGAAAAACACTACCAAGGTAAACAAAAAACAATAATAATTTTATATGTGAGATTATGATACTTAAAAGCCCACACCATTTTTACAGTTTAATTCGATTACAAGGCAAGAGCCTTCTTTAGCCCTTGCAACACTTCGCATAAACATTAGTTTAATTGCAAATAGAGTGAAAGCTAAAAACAATCCAACTTATAATGAAAAAAAATTGAGTTGAGAAAAATTATGATCATCTATCAAAATTATGGTATTAAAAACAAAACATTCGATGCAAAGTAAGAATGGTAAGAAAAAAAGTAATAAATTAAATATTTTTCTTAACATTTTTTTTATTATTATTTTCATTTAACCCTCTCATCCATGTGGGTCTCACATGAGGACAAATATATTTTTGCTTCATAATGTTATTCAGATTCAAATTTGTGCAGTAATTTACATTTAGTCCCCATCGGAAGAATCCAAACAGTTCTTGGAAACCACACAAGGTAGCAGGCCCTTCAAGATAGTTAAAAGAACATGATCTCTTTGGAAGGCGAAGGAGGATTAGAAAAAGAAGTGAAAAATCTGATATCTTGAAGGGTATATTACATTACTAGAAAGGTTGGTATTTTTTCTATTTCTTCTTATACCTTATATTTATCCTTCTTATAAATGAAGTTTGAATATTCAGTTTTGCAATGATTAAAATTACATTGATAAAATATACCACAAAAGCATATGTCCTCACTTGGTACTAGAACACTAATTTTTGACTATACAGGGTAAAAATAAATTACAGCACTGCAATCCTGAGAAGCTAAATGAGTTTGTAGCATATCTAAATGTTTATTAGATCTCAAATGAAAAACTCACGCTGCATTAGAAGGTTAAATAAAACATTGTCTAATAACATAATAATTCCAAGATTACATAAAAAGTTGATAACATAGAAATGAAACTTATATTTGATCAATAAACAAGTTTATTGAAGTGACAAAAAAAGAAAAAAAAATACCTTCCATCAACAGATATAAATTTCATAATGTTTCCTGGTTTTAAATCTCTATGAATGGTATTGTTGTCTCTCAAATATTTCATTCCAGCAGCTGAAATGGAAAATGGTTAATGAGACAACTAATTAAACAAATACAACTTATGATATAACTAATTAAACTAATACAACTTATGATACAAATAATAAATTTTTTAACCCACTACTTTTAATTTTTTGTACATTTGTTTGTAGCCAAATTTTTCAACAAAAAATAAGCTCTTTTCAAGCACTCAAAAATATTTTTAAGCACTTTAAAAAATATATATAATTAGGCAGGGTTGGCAAGTTTTTGACAATTGACAGTTTTATCCGGATTTAATCATCATGTCATAAAAAAAAAAAAAAACAACTTTAGTTTTGCAGGCATAGTTTTTGACAACTGTCAAAAATCATGAAATTTTCAATCATAAAACAAATGGTGTTTTCACACGCTAAGGACTAACGTCGAAATAGATTGGGATTGAATTAATTGTGTAAAACAGTGACTAGAACAATATGAACAATGTCTTTTTGCATAATATGTGGCGAAAATCAACAGGGTAAAGGGAAAATTAAGCCCTTTTTAAAAACACCTAATGAAAAAAGCACATTTAAAGGCTTTTAAAAAACAATAAAAAATAAGCACCTTTAAGCACTTTTTAAAAACGCTACGCATCCTGTTGAATAGCTATTTCAATTTTTTTTCAGTGTAAATCACAAATGTGCATTGGAGTTGCTAGCTGAAATGTTTAATTTATGATGCAGATTCTCTGAATTTATTTATTAAAATTAATTTGTGATGCAAATTTCCTTTTTTTAAGCTCACTGCTTTCAATTATATATACTTTTTTTCATTGAATAGCTATTTAAATTTTTTTTTTTGTATTAAGCATAAATATGCATTTAATTATGCTCAGTAATAATTATAAATGTGCATTAGTGTCACTAGTTGAAATGTTTAATTCCAAACTTTTTTGTCCTGAGAGCTTGACTACAATTTATATTCTATTAAAATTTTCATCAATTTCTAAGCAAATGTTAATATCAAATTATAAATTTTTATGTAAGATGTAGAGTTAAATGCATTTTATTTCAAATAACAGATAAGAAATAATTTTTCAAAAATATCTTGTGCAAAATATTGAAATCGTACGAAATCACTGTCAGAAAAGAGCTAGTTATCAATATTTCACATACACATACTTATTTGAAATGATAAAAAAATTTTGTGAATGTTCAGAGACTAAGAAATCAGTTCCGTAACTATTACAAATGATATGAAACATTAAATGAAAAAAAAAAACTATTAATATATCTTTTAATTTATTTTTCAACTTGGCTGTATAAATTTGCTTGGAAAAAAGGATAATTTGCTAATAAATCACTTATTAATATTAATTTTGCAATAGTTCCAATAGTTTTGTGCGTTACTTTTTAGTAGTTCCCTTAAACATAGACTCAGAAATATTTAAATTTGATAAATTAAAAGTTTGTGGTAAGTTATTTAAATTGTCGTCAAAACATTAATTAAAGTATTATTTTTGTTCACATAATTACAAATATTTTTCAAAAACTTTTTAACAAAATTAAAACATTTTTAAACTGACCTAACTTTTAACTAATCGGAGTCAAGGAAATTTTTACAATTCCTGCAAAATTTTCTTTGACTTTGATTCAGCAACTCTGATTTAAACTTATGGTAATGCTATTTAAATAAATATATGAATCATTGACTAAATGTAAAAAATAACAAGCTTCCTAAAACCCGAAGAAATTAAGAAAACTCCCTGTGTATCCCAATTCAATAAGAAATAATCAATCGGAAGTAGTAACCCAGAAGTTTTATGACGAGTTTTAACCTCTTGTGATATATGTAGTTAGCTTTACAAGGTCAACCATCCATATATGTGTGTGTGTGATGCTTTGATACAATAAAATTATAGCAGGGCTGCCACTGGATGAAAACAAGAAAAACAGTTGCTTTAGTAATAGAAAATATAATAATAAAAATAGTTGCATATGAAAAAAAGTCTCCTAAATAGTCTCAAAGATATATAAAATAGTTGCCATCATTGTATCGTCCTCTAACATAATTTTAATTATTTGCACTGCAATAGTATAAAATTCAAATAATATGCAGTTAGATACTCACATTTTATAAAAAATTTACATTTGTGGATTTGCCAACAATAGATAGAGCTATGTTGAAGGAAATGCTGTGGAAAACTTCCACAACTTTTAAAAATATCTATTTTTAGTTTTACTCTTTATGAGGCATAAAGTATCAGATATCATATAAGAAACAATAGTTGTAAATAAAAAAAAAATTTTAAAAAAAGCTAGAGACTAAAAATTTCAGGCGTTATAAAAAAATGAAGTAGAAATGACATTTGCTAACAGTGAGGAAGAATGAAGTTTGGTTAAAATGAAAGAGCGGCAAAAAGAAAAGTGGGGGAACTCATGAAGCAATTCTTCATTTTAGTCACTAATTGGATTACAAAAAGTCGCTGATTTTAGGCAACTCATTGCAAATTAGTTGCTTTTACTCATATTTCTACTAAAATAGTCGGCATAGTTGCTATTGCTTTAATACAGTCAATTTAGTCACCAATGGCAGCCCTGTTATAGTTGTACCAGGCTAGATGAGAAAAACATTATAAAATTAAAATTTAATTTTATTTAGAGAAAAAACAGAGATTTTGAAGACATATACTTTACATCTCGAGCATGCAGCTATGAAAGAAGGTTTTACATTGACACAAATTACATAGATCTCTTCAAAATATCTTAAACTACCAGAAGGAGTATTTATTTTGTGTTTAAAACCATTTCATTATGCAATAAGTCATGAGTCATATTTAATAATATTCAATTTAAAAGAAAAAGTTTTTAAATGATTACAGATTAGAATTAAAATACATTTTTAGAAATTATTTATTATCAGATAATAATCTTTAATACTTAACAATTTTTGATTTTTAATTTTTTTTTTACATTACAATATATTGTATGGTATTACCTTCTCTAAATAATATACTATAAATATGCTCTGCTCAAAATAAAATCACATTTTCATCTTATAACAGGGTGGCCACTCGAATCAGATTTCAAATTTCCCTGACTTTTCCAGGTTTTCCAGATAAAAATCTTAAAATTTCCAGGTTTTTGTTTCTTTTTTCTTATAAAGTATAGGATGTGTACAAGAAAAGTGTCTATATTATAAAATATTTTATTCAAAATGTTACTTTTTTAACATATCATACTTGAAAAAAATAATTTATTTTGACAATTTTCAAGATTTTTTATTTATTTTTTAATGTTTTGGTACAAAATTTTGAATCAAAAATCATATATTGACCAACAAAGGAGCCTTTTTTTAAAATTAAAATATGTTATAAGAGGTTAAAATGAAATAGAAAAAATTGCCATTAATGCAACAATTGTAACAATTTGTCGACAAACATTGCTGTTAGCGATTGTAAAAAAATGTGTGATTCGTTGGTTTGCTCAGAAAAAATAATTCACAGATTTCTTTGAATGGGAGTAGAAAAAGAAAAAGAGTGCGATATAAAATCTATTATCATAAAATTTAACCAACTAATTTTTGGAGAATTTTATAAAGTTAAAAATACAAAAACATTTTGTCAAAATCGAGAAAAAAAATAACCACCAAAGCATCGGAACAAACTTGAGCCATAAATGGATTCAGCCCAAAGACAGTATTTAAAAATAGAAGCTAATATCCTAAATCTTTTTCCACCTACACCAGAATCTTTCCTAAATTGCACAGTCCCATAGCGGTCAAAGGTTTCTGCATTCGTTTAGCAACAGTAGGAGAATTTTATGTGGCATTCTAGTTTAACAGCTGTAATGGAGCAAATTTTGATGCAAGCAAAGTATTGCTAAGTTGATGATATTTCAACTGTTTGGCGATACATTTCCGTTAAAAAAAAGTGGGTATAATGGATGAAATAATTTAAATTAAGAAAATTAGCAAATAATTTAAATTAGTGAAATTAAAAAAATTATCAAAGAAAAATTTCCAGCTTTTCTTTAAAATTCCCTGATTTTTCCAGGTTTTTATCCAAATTTCCCTGATATTTCCAGGTTTTTTCCAGTATAAAAAAATTCCCTGATAATTCCAGGTTTTCAAGGTTTTCCAGGTGGGTGGCCACCCTGTATAATGTTTTTTTTAAGAATTTTATCGTAAAGCTTTAATGCATCCCAAACACTGTATATTACCATTTGCTGCAGTGTATTTTCCTTTAAATTATGTCAAACAAGCTACTATTATCTAGAGTAAATAAAATGAAATTGCAAAATACATTTTTTTATAAAATTCTTACAAAGGTCTTTTAATACTCTTTGAAACTCCTCTTCTTCCAAACCATAACTATTTTGTGGATCATCTAAGATGGTGAACAAGCTTCCAGCATCACACAATTCCATAACTAGAATTTTTTTCTGGCTCTCAAGCTAATAAAAATTAGTAAAAACTAAGAATATACTTTTACAATACAACAGATATATTTTAAATGCGTCACTAAAATTAATAGAAAACAAAACATTACTGAATTTAAATATAAAGGATTTTTTCTGATTAGTTATCAAATCTTTTCAGAATGGAATCAAATTTTAAAAACCAACAAATTGTCAAGAATATTTGATAACAATAAAATCAATGCTAAAATATTAAATTTATGAGATATAATAGGCAGATGAAAATAGTAAAAACAGCAAGAATGAAAATTATTACTTCTTCTTCAATGGCCACCATTTTTACAATATTTTCATGAGTCAATTTCTTCATAACTTCAAATTCTCTCATCTGCACTTCCAGAGGCCTCAAATGACTTGTATGGTTGAAAGTTTTGACAGCTACAGCCTCTCCTGTTTTCTGTAAATAATAAATGCGAAATAAAATTTTTACTCAAGACATAACTCTTTGAAACAAATTAGAAAATTTGCCACAGTTAACTAATTTTTTCAATGACTAAACCATGAAATAGGTTAATTTCCTGATGATGGAATTAGCACCAATATTTAGGTTTATTTTAAGATGCATTATTTTGATAAAAAATTCTTTTGTCAGTCATGAAAAATTCTTTTTCTTTGGATATTATCATTATTCTCACAAAAATAAACCTTCTCCAAGGACTTTACTTAATTGTCCATTGCATTATCATTTCAATCACTTTCTCCTCGAAAGTAAAAATTTAATATTTTCCAAAAATGTCAGTCAAATATAAATCAAGCATAGTTGCAAGGAGTTAGACACAAGCACAAACTCTTGAATCCCCCACCCCCTAATAAAAAATAAAAGTTCTGTTATGCAAATTCTGTTGTAATGTGAAACCTCCACTTCTCTGTAGCGACCTCCTCTATTTAAGACCACTTTTGGGAGGGACAGAATTTTTCCATAGACTTTGTATTGAAGAAAACCTTTAGGTAAGACCATCAAAACCTCTCTAGCAAATGGGCAAACCTTCACCCCAAATGCGGTGAAGGTCAAATAATCAAATCAGTTATAAAAAATAAAAAAAAAAATTATTAATGAAACAAATAAGTAGATTAAAGTGTGTTCAAAATATTAATGAGTCGCTCTTATTTAGAGAGCTCTTTTTGACGATCTCTAAAAGCAATTACAATTAAAAGTAAACTTTATAGCTTAGAGCAGAGGTTGCCAAAGTGGTCTATATAGACCCCCAAGGGTCTATTTAACAAAAGCAGGGGTCGATCTGAGACAGGGGGGCGAATGGGGGTCGATCCGAATCGGAAGGGTCGGAAAAAAAACAGTTCTCAATACGCAAATCACACGTACCTAATGTAAAATTTGTATGTAAAATTTGTGAATTTTTTTTATAATTGACTCAATATCAGTTTCTTTATAAAACATAAATTAATAAACGTATATTTATTCAGGTGAAACAAGTATTTACGTACCACCGAGCAGTGGCACGAACTCAGCTCAGTTTATAAGTAATATGCATATGTGCGCTTGTCCAAATGTCACGTGTGACGAGCATTAACGTTACAAATGCAAATATCATACGCAGTTTCAGCTATCTTTGCAAACTGTGTTGAATATTTGTAGTGTCATTATTAAAACTTTTATAGTTTTGGATAATTAGTTATTGTTTCGATAAAACCATTCGTTTAGTTTAGATATCAATTTTAATTATCAATGCACAAAAAAGAAGGTAAGCATTAATGATATGGATTAGTACAGCCCGCGACAAAACTATAGCACACTTTGTATTTTTTTTACGAAAATTACAAAATTGACCAATTTTGAACCCAATATAGCGAACCTTGCAAAAAGACACCAGGCCCACCCATCTTATTGATCAAGAAGCAGTAAATCTTTAGTTACTTTACTTATTATATCTACTTATGCATAATTACTTATTATTTAATAATAAGGTATTTAAATTTCAATATTAATATATTTTTCATAAAACTATTGTTACATAATGTACTATTACTTTAATAAATGCTTAAAATCGTAAAATAAATGTACAAACATAGTATCTAATATAGTTTTATTTTAATTAACAGAAAATTACTTTTGCGGGGGTCGATGGAGATTTCAAAAAATTATATAGGGGTCGATAATCAAAAAAGTTTGGCGACCCCTGGCTTAGAGGCATAATACATAATTTTAAATGAAACTAAATATCTCATTAAAGTTCACAGTGCAAATTTATGAAATAAATTTCTTAGGTTTCAATTGCATCATTACAATTTAGTTTATTCCATTTACCAAAATAAAACAACTTTTTGTATTTCAAAATCATCATATTTTGCACATCAGTCAGGGAAGGGCCAAGGCCTTCAGTTGTAGATTCTTAAAGGACAATTTATTTTTTTGACCTGAACAGCCAGTCTTTTATTCCAATTCCACAGAATTGAGCTATTCTTATATTTAGCCTTTAGCCAATTAGTAAAGAGCTTTTCTTTACTGGATCTTTTATATTCATACTAACAACATGAGCAATCCAGTTCATTATTTGGTAAAATAAAACATAAAATTTTCTTACTTTATGGACACCACGATAAACTGATCCAGTAGCTCCCTTTCCTAAAACATCGGTAGTACTCCACATATAATGGGAAGAGCTTCTTAAGCAGTTCATTGTGTTTTTTGAGAGACAGCTTTTCAAATACTGGAAGAAAAAATCTATAGATAAGATTTATACAGTTTCTAAACATTGAATTTATATTAAAGTAATTTATTAACTATTTACAAGAAATTTATTTCACTGCATAAGTTAGATTAGAAAACAGTGGAGAAAGCGGTATGTCTGAGCCACGGTTTTCTGTTGTAAACATATAATAAAAAATAAATAACAATTGTAATAAATATATTAAGCAATATATACGAAATAAGAGATTAATTTGTTATTTAACACTAGTATGTAGCTATATTGCCCAAAAGTAGTCAAAATGACAGGATTGTGAAAGAATAACTAACGTATAAAGAAATTTGTTCAAAATAAATTTTTAATATCTTTTATATTATTTACAGTTATTTTACAAGTTATTAGTAAATACTAACAATAAAAAAAACTATATGTTGCACACAAAGTCACAAAATTCTAGGAAATTGTGTCATTATATACATCATTGTTTAACTTCCTTGGGCAGTCTAATGTTAATTATGTAAATTATTTATGCATTCAAGTTAAGTGCAGGGTTCATTCTAAGCGGGGTTTACGGGGCGGCCCGCCCCGTATGCCCTTTTGATATAAAATATCCGCCCTATTGCCCTTTACTCCTTTTATCCTGCCCTGATATAATTAAATGCGCCCTGTTGTGTCCCCTCCAAAAAGATACCACTTTCCTGTAAGAAAGGATTTTTTTGACCTGTCTCCCCCCGCTTAGTAATATTTTTCTTGAAATCAACTTGTCTTCCCTCTAGCTCAAAAGCTATGGGTAAATGAGATTCCGAAAAGCTCCCCCCCCCCTCTTTACTATTTCCTCTTGAAGTTAGTAGTTTAAATAAGAGATCTTCCAAGAAGTTCCTAGGGGAATGCAACCCCTCCTGCAGCTGTGTGGGTTCCTATTTTCTTTTTTTAGAAAAATTTATTTTTCTTAGAAATGGACGTATTGCTTATTTTAAGAAACCATACTGCTATGATGACGGTCAGTAGGCCTGGCAAGAGTTTTCCTGGAAAGAATTTTTTAAGGGAAGAAATCTTGTTCACAAGGCCTGTAGACAATTTTAGGGGTCGGACTAGGTCATATAGATAAAAGATACATTCTCATGTAGCTTCTGGACCCCTCTGTCCAGCTTTATTCTTTTGAAGGAAGAAAGAAATTTTTACTTTTGATTTCAAAAGTGAAGGGACTTAGACAATTAACTACGAAATAAAAAAGCTTTTTTATCAAAAAAAAAAGAAAAAAAATTCTAATTTTAAAATAAACTTTTTTTTACAATGACGCAATACAATTCTTACAATAATAAGTTTCAAGTTATGTTACATTACAAGTTATTTTAAGATATTAGCAAACGATAATTTTTATTCCGTTTTTTTTAAAATTTATTTTACTTTCCTTTATTTAAAAGTATTAAATTTATTTATAGCTGTATTCTTGTACCTCAAAAATATTAAAAAAGGAAATTTATTTGAAGATACAACATGTGTTATGCGCAAATTTTTTTTCTTTTTCTTTTTCTGAATGATCACAATGCAGCTTTAATTTTGCCGCCCATTTTAAATAGAACTAAATAAATTGATAAATTAAGAAATGGTTTTCTTTCTTTAATAGTAACTCGTTTGTTTGACGATATTTTTCAAATGAGGTGTTTGATTCGACACTATCACAATTACCAAGCCCATCGATAACTCTATGTTGTATTTTCCATAATATGACATTTCTATACTGTTACTTAAATTATTTTTTT